CCTGTGTAGCTCTTAGAGCCGACGTTCTTACATATTTTAAAGTGGCTGTTGGAGAAGATTAGTGTGACATGGCCATCCACTTTGGTGAAGGGCTTGCTGATGTTGAATGTGAACATTTTATTTCAATTTTACCTAAGGACGCATCCATTCCATATTTCACAAGATAGCCAATTCAATAGAGATAAGAATTTACCCTTAAATTTAAAAAAATGCAGTATTCAAGTATTTTATGAATAGTGAAAGAAGACTGAAGATTGTTACCATGTTTGGAAAGAAAAATAAAGTTGTAGGCCTTTCCCTAGACAGTTGAGGTCCAGGATAGTTAAGGATCCAGTTACATTTGACAGAAGGTTGTTCGTTTAGCCACTTAAAACAAAACTGTGCATCTGTAGAATGAGCCAGTCATGTACTATTGAGACAAGCAGACTTTTCTGAGACTTCAGCATGACTCCAGATGACCTGCCTTCCCCTGGTCTTCAGTACCACATGTAATATCTATTAGCATATTTCCAGTGCCTACTGTATAGTTCTTGAATTGAGTATTATTTATGAGTGGTCTCTAAATCTTCATTTAACTTTGATGAGATGTTATCCGTAATCACATAGCATCTCTGCTAATTCTAGAATCCTCAAACTATGAGCCTTGTTGAAAGTAAAGTTTAGGAGAAAAGGTGAAGTACTAGATTCTTTTCTACCAGGGTGGTAGCAAGGAGAGTAACGTTGGCAGACAGTACTCATGGTATATATGCATTAAAGTCTGAGATAAAATTTGAATACATTGTGATGGCTGCTCTGAGTGACTTAGTAAGAGACTGTAACACTTTCTCAGGAAATGCTCTTAATATTTGCAGGCTGATCTCAAGGAGTATTACAGATTTGACTTGGTACCCCTTATTATATTTTAGGGTGTTGGGGGGGATTTAAGATTAAACTCGAATATTCTAAACAATGACTATTTTAAAAGTTGTTTGCAAAAAGCTATTTCACATGAATTGCTTAAGTAATCTCCCTGTCCTTCTCCTGTAGTTGAGTGCATGTCTTCTTCTGTTCCTTTTTTCCCCCTTTATTTTTTTTTTTGAAGTTTTAACAAGGATTTATTTGAGTATAACAGGGTAGAGTAGGGCAAAGTGGAGAAAGATAAAAGGGAAAAAACATTGCCTGCTTGCTGCACAGGAAATGGGAGTAAAGACTCTCCCTTTTCTTATTTTTCAAGGAACATGTAAAAGTATGCTATCAATATACCAATAAAGAAAACTTTCACCAAAAGTTCATGTAAAGTGAAAATGGATAAGTTATGATCTACAGTTGTTTTGAGTCCATCCATGCTTCTAAATGAAGGGTCCTAACTCAGTGTCTGTGGTCTGATTTCCAGTGTCCTCTTGCTAGACATTTTTTTAAGTTATAAATTCTTTGAAGCAGTGTTGGATATTTTTATCTTTTTATTTCCTGTTCTAGCACACGATTGACACATGGCAGGCATGTAATGAACACTGTTGACTTAAACTTCTAAAACTGAACTTGAGTTAGAAGATCTGTTGTTCTAGCTTTCTCGATCACTAGCTGAGACTGAAGAGAGGAAGGTAGACTTATTGACGGACGTGTGGTCCTGAGTGGCAGCAAGACCAGTTGGATCCCTGTAATTTGGGTTAGAAAGGGGCATATTTATGGGTTAGGAAAAAAGTGATTTTATTACTGGCTGGAATGTACCTGGTTTATCTGAAGATAATATTGAAGAGTTGAGAGCATCCCTGGAGCCAGTGTTCAACTGAAAAGTCCCACATGTGACTAATGATTTTATCTACTTACTGTTTTCTGGGAAACTATATAGGGAAACCCAGCCAGGACCACTCAGGGGCACTACTTGTGCTTATGAGTCTAGATGGCTACAGTCATATCAAGCTGCAGCTACCCAACTCTAGAGTAAGCTTCTGTCTAGTTCTAGAAACTTTGGTGCCAAGCCTATGGTAGGTGCTTAATAATTGCTTGCTTTGTACTGATTGCTTAATAAATTTCATTTGCTAGATTACCTAATTAGTGATGGAGTAAATTGGTTTGCTGAGTATACCTTATTGTCTCATTTGGTGAGATTGCTTTTTTCCTTAGAGATAATTTATATATTTTTTAATTTCTGAATATATTCTTTCTTTCAGTATTCCTTATAATTTGACCACTTTTTCACACTGAATGAGAAATTTATTAAAATGAGAGAAATTGTCGGGATACTTACACCTCATTTCATAGATAAGGAAAATGATGGTATGGAAGGTTATATGACTTGCCCAAAGCTATTAGTGAATAATGCCAGTTATCTCCTGGCAGAGTTAGAACCCATGTCAGGATTGCAGGTGAGTGTGATTTATACTTCAGATGTCTATGAATGATTAGCAGTTCCCTGGGATAAGATTGGGGGGAATTATCAAAGCACCTAAGTTTTCAAGGCACATAGAAGAAAAGCTTTTTCTTCATCTCAAATAGTAATTTAAGGAAAACCATTCTTGTGCCTCATTTTCTGAGAAGTACAGTAAGGAACAAAGGCAAATAAAAAAGTTCGGTATGTAAAAGCATTCTGTGACTTTTCTTTTCCTGAGAAATGAGGATGGAGAGAAGAAAGGAAAAAAAATGTCATAATGGGTGAATTGGACCTTATGTTTTTCTTTGCTTTTTTTTTTTTTGCCCAGGAGTTTTCACCTTATTTAATAATAGTACAATACATAGAAACAGATAGCACTTTTCATTTCAGATGGATGAGTAATGAGTGGCCAGTTCTTCACTGTCAAAAGCCATAACTCCACTTCTGACTGCTTTTCTCTCATCTTTTTTCTCTAACCTTCTCCAACCAGGCTTTAGTCCTCCTGAAATCATACTGTGGAAGGTCTCAAGCAGTATTTTGTCATTTAATCTAGCAGCCTTTTTCTGTTGGCATTTCTCATCCTTGATTGTGGCAGTATTTTCTGGTAGAAATGCCTTTCCTGTTTTTCCAGATACTTTACTTATTCTGCCCTTACTGTCTTTGCTTTTCCTAACATTTTCTAGCTGCTAATAATTCCGTTTATTCTATAAGGTATAATATTGACCCTTTGCCTTATATGTACCTTTAAAATCTATGAATTAAATGTTTAATGGAATCAGCTATGAATTCTGTGCCATACACATTTATATGCTGTACTAGCTGAGATGCTGGGGACACATAAACACACACAGAAGATATAATGCATACCTTAAGGTGGTTTTAAGGGAGAAGGAAACTTTGTTTTTGAGACAGGGTCTTGCTGTGTAGCACAGGCTGGCCTCACACTGATTCTCCTGCCTCAGCCTCCTTAGTGCTAAGATTACAGTGTGCACCAACATGGCCAGCAGCTGGCATCATTTTTTTTTTTTTAATAGGAGCACAGAAAGGGCAGATCTTAGAGTCTGGAGGGCAGTTTGGGATCAGGAAATATGCACTTGAGATTTTAAAGAAATAATAGCGGCCAGACTGAATGGCTGTTAGGGAAACTCTAGGCAGAGATTTGCAACATTATGCAAATATGAAAATAAGAAACAGCAGGAGGTGAAGCACAAGTACGTTTGTGTTTGGATGGCTTCAAATGTGAAGCAGGGTTGATGGGAGCAGGGAGGACAGACAGAACAAATACACTAGTTAGAGGACTTAGGCTTACTCCATTAGGAAGTGGGGAGCTCTGACACAGTTTTAGTGGGAGGCATTGGGTAGGTGCTTGTTTTATATTGATTATTCATATAGTTCTGTAATGAATGGTTGTTTAGTTGTCTATGGTTACATAACAAATGACACAAAACCTACACTTCAGATATGGAAACAAACTCCTCTTTCCTTTTCCTTTCTTTAATCCAGATTCTAAAATACATGATATTTGTGTATCTCTCATTCATTCAACTGACAATGACCACGGACCTACTCTGTGAGCAGCACTTTCCTAGGCCTCCTGTGAAGATGATAATGTGCAGGACGAGCATTGTCTCTGTTCCTTTTGGTCATTGGTATTTCCTCTTTCCTTCTCATCTGTCAGAAATACCACTCATCCTTAAGGTGCAGTTCAACTTCTCTTCCCTGAAAAGATAGACGTTCCTGCATGCTCTACCTCCTACAGCTATCATCAAGAGAGGATTGTTTTGGACATTTTTAGATTGTAGAGGCTTAAAAGGGAGCACTGGCTTAAGCTATCCAGGGTGGTAAAACTATTTCTGTGTCACCCATTCCCCCTTCCCTACCCTGGCAGTGTAGTGTAAGCAGTAGAGCAGCTTTACCAGTGCGATTCATTGGAATTACCCAGAGAACTTTGATATATACACAGGGGCCTGGACTTTCCCTTAAAGATTCCCATTCAACATGTCAGAAATGAAAACAAGATTCTAAGGTGAATTCAGTGTAGGACAGAAAGTCATTGCATTAGAGTCATCCTCACCATTAAGCCATAATCCAAATAGCCTAAAGCAGTGGTTTCAAGTACTGGTTGAAAACCAAATACATCAACACAGACTTTTGGGCCCCATCCTTCATGTTGCTGAGTGTACTACATCTGTAGGTATAACCAGCCTTCTGTATTTTTTTAAATGATAAAATATGGCTGCTAAATAACCAGGTTTGAGAAATACTGGACTAACGAGCTGATATGTGAAGTTTTTGTATTTTCTTATTAAATTATTCAGATAAATACATGTAAAAATTTGATAAATATTAATGGCCAGTGGGCCTGATAGGCTATGATTGCCAAAGAAGGTTGAACTCATACTGTGCTTAGATACTTAGATGACTCAGTCAGTACTCAGTTTTATGCTTAGTCTTTCATACATCGATATATTTTCCCTAGCTCTTTTACTTTTGATAATAAGTTATTGATCACATGAGAAACTTGGAAAAATGACTGGCAGATTACTCTGATAAATCCTGGTCTTTCTGTTGTAGGGAAGTACATCACTACTGTTTTGTAGAATGGGGCTGTCATAATGTGGCTTTAATAAGTGTGTTATCTTTTCTTTAGTGTTATTCCTCTTTTAAGAGAGTCTGTTGGAATACTAATGCAGAGGACGCCTCCTGTGTTGGAAAACACTCTGCCTCAGTGCTATCAGAGGGTGAGTTCCAGAGCGTCCCAACCGTTGGATTTCATGTTGTTTCCAAGCTGTTAGGGTTTTCAGCTTTAGTATATGTGTAATGTGTGTGTATAATTTAGTCTTTCTTCCAAGATTGAATGCTGACCATGAATTCCATTTATGTAAACCAGAAGAAAATCTTTGGAAAATATTGAGCTTCACTAAAGAAAATGTAGCAAAGACTGTCATGATTGAGAAATACAGAATATGAGTGGCAGATGAGATAGTTATGTATTCAGTATCTTTTTATCTCCCAGAATGTACCAGATACTTTTATAAGATACTGGGGATGTAGTGTAAACAAGGCAGACACTGATTGTTTCTGTGGCACTTAGAGTCTAGTGGGCAAGCATAAATACTAAATAGTGAGTTGATAAGTAAGAAAATATTAGTGATAATTCCTGTAGAAGAAATAAAATGAGGTGATGTGGTAAGCATGGATGGCCACATAGACTCATTAAGGAAGTTATATTCAAGAAATCTGAAATTGATGACAAGAAGGAGCCAGCCATATACACATCCTGGAGAACAATGTTCCAGGCAAAGAAAAACCACTAATGGGAAAGTGCTATGGTTGGAACTAATTTAGTGTGCTTGAGGAATAGCAGAAAGGACCAGTGTGGCTGAAGCATAATACATAAAGGGAAAAGTGGCTTGAATGGCCAGAGAGAATGCAGGGGATGCATCATATAGGAGTTTGGTGAGACCCAGAGGCTCAAACTTGGCTCCAATTCAGTGGGAAGCTTTTGAGCCCTGGGAGGGTCATCAGTCTTAGGTTTTCTAAAAGACTGTTCTCTCTATGCAGAGAAAAAATTCTAGGGAGAATGAAAGCAATGAAAAGCAGTTATGAAGTATTGTCATCTTAAGGAGAACAATGGTGGCTTAGTTTAAGTCATAGCAATGAAGGTGGCAATCACTGTACATTTGGGATGCATTTTTGGAGGTGGATTGTCTTCATGAAGGGAAAAAGATATTGACTTACAGATTGGTTAATGGTAATACTGCTTGTTGAGTGACAATAGGTTGGTACATGTTTGAGGATGGAAAATTCTTCCAAATCAAGAGCTGTATTTGGGATATGTTAAAACTGGACTGCCTATTATTCTTCTAGGGGAAATGTTAATTAAGTTGCAAATCTGGAGTTTGGGGGACAGAATAGGACTAGAAAGTTTAAGTTATCAGTGTATGAATAGTATCTACAGAACCAAGATTGCTGAGATTACTCTAGGAAAGGATAGAATTCTGTTCTATTCTGCTTTCACTTCCTGGCCTGGAGTACACAGGTGGAAGAGCTAGGAAACAGAGCAGTCAGTAAGGGAGCTGGATAATCACAAGAGTGTAGTGTCACAGAGCTGAAGGAGAAAGTAGTCAACTGTGCTGGGTGTTTTGTGAGATAGGAACAGAGAAGCGATTCTTACCTGGCCTGGACATCATTACTCATCTCCATAAAGAACAGTTTCATTGCTTTGTTGGAGGAGAGCGTGACTGAGAGGAGTAAGGAGAAAATGAATTGGGGAAGTGGAGACAGTGGCTATAGACAAGCCTTTAAGTAGTTTTAAAGGGAAGAATGAGTCTAGGTAAGGACACAGTGTCAGGATCTCAGAATTGAAAAGGATCTGCTATTCATTTGGTCCAGACTTCTTCCTGCCTGTTGGAGAATTTCCACTATAATGTCTAGTTGGTGGTACAATTTTGTGACATTTCCCAGAGATAGGTAGTCAATTCTTCACAGAGTAGTCATTTCTTCTTCTTTTTTTTTCCTTCTTTCTTTCCTTTTTTTTTTAGGGGGTTGGTGGTGCTAAGGATGGAACCCAGGGCCAAGTTCATGCTGAGTGTGTGCTTTACAGTGAAGCTACATCCCTGCCTTTTCTTTTTAAACTGTTGCACCAACTCAGCTGCCATAAAGGTCTTTCACACTGAGCTTTGCTTTCACCTTCTGACCTCCGCCCTTAGTTTACCTCCTGAATCTCACAAAGACGCCGCCCTGTTCATCTTTTCCCTGATCTTTAAGGGACTTCTCTTCAAGTTTTAGCCTAAATATTTTGTACATTTTTGGTAGATGACCTCTATAAAAGAAGTATCCTGCTAATTGTTTTCTTTTCCTGAATCAAAAATAGTTTTTGAACTTTTACTACTATAATTCTAATATTTATTGATTTGATTGTGTGATTTTTTTTCTACTTCATTAATTGAAGAACAGCATTAGTAGCTTGTGATGTTAAACCATTTTTTCCCTTGAGATAAACTCATGTTAGTCATGGTATGTTATTTTTTTAACACATTGTTGGATTTAGCTTTTTCATTCATAAGAGAAATTAGCTTGTGATTTATTTTCTGTTGGGTTTGGGGATCAAGGTTCCTTCTTTCTAATACAAGGTAGCAGCTCTCCTGTTTTCTGGAAAAACTAAGTGACTGTCTCCTTGAAAATTTTTTCTCTGGGTCTAGGACTTTTTTGAAAGAGAGCTGTGCTACTAATTCAACTTTAATGATGGTAACACTTTTATATTTTTTTCTTACATTTACTGAATTTATAGAGTTTTTTCCATTGTGTGTAGGTTTTCAAGTTGTGTTTTTATTTGTGTATGTGTATGAGTGTTTACTGGGGACTTACTTGGGCCAGATGATGTTTTGGTACTGAAAATGCAATACAAAAACAAGCCCTGGACCTTATTGAGCTTAGGTTCTGCTGGAGGAGGAAGGCAGTAAACTCCTGCAGAGAACAGTACAAATACAATCTGAGATCTGAAGGGCTGGCGCAGTGGCTTAAGTGGTAGAGTGCCCATCTAACAAGTGTGAGGTCCTGAATTCAAACCCCATTACTACAAAAAAAAAAGTGCAAGTAGTCTGAAGATCCTTTATCTAGAATGCTTAGGAAGAGAAGTGTTTTGGATTTCATATTTTTTTAATTTTATAATATTTGCATGTATATAATAAGATGACTTGGGAATGGAATCACAGTTTAACCATGAAATTCATTGTATAACTGTACACATGTCCTGAAAGGTGATTTATACTACCTATTTTTAAAAAAATTTTTTGAAACAAAGTCTAATTAAGTAGCCTAGGCTGGCCTCAAACTCATTCCTCCTGCCTCTCCCTCTCAAGAGCTGGGATTACAGGTGTGTACCACCACACTCAGAATATTTTATAAAATGTTTTAGTACACCTGAGTTTTGAATGTGACACATCAACTTTGGATTTTTGAATTAGGAATGCTCAGACTGGAATATAAATGAGTGAATAAATGCTGTATATTATTATGCTAAACCACAAGAGAAGGGTTTATGACCCAAAGCAGATCTCATAATCTAGGAAGTTGCTCTTCAGACAGAGGGAATAGCAAGTACTCTGAGACAGGGGGCGAGACTTTAGAAAGAAACAATGGAGAAAGTTCTGGAGAAGCTGATGAAAAGGAAGGGAGAAAAAGATGAGGAGGAGAAAGAAATGAGGTGAACAGAGTGACATGGCCCACGGAAGTCTCAGAGGAATGTGGGAAGCCATTGGAGGATTTTGAACAGAAGAGTGTGGCAGTTTGAGCTAGAGTAATGGAATCTTGCTTGGGCTGTTTGATAGCAGATGGAAGAGGCGCTAGGCTAGAATTAGAGAGACCAGTAAGAAGCTATTGTGGCAATCGAGGCTCGAGAGAAACTGGACTAGGTTTGGACTAGGTCGATAGCACCTGAGGTCTTGTTGAGAGCTGTTTTCGTTCTGTGTGTGATGGTTTGTGTGTTCCTGTGGTGATGTATTCAGTACTCAGGGCCATAGCACTTGTGGGGTTCCCACTTAGGTTTTTTGATTGGTTTTGTTTGTAGGTTTTTCCCTGTTTCAGATTTTGTTTAATTATTATATTGTCTTCTATTATATCTTTATCCAAAGTCTTTGTGGCCAGTGGCTGTAGGGCTGTGTCCCCCAGGGTGCATGGGAGACATCCCTAACCCAGAGCTCTCCTTTGTGTTGTCATGATGGGGGCCTGAGTGTCGGTGATGGCCCCTGAAGCCTAGGACGCCAAGGACCTGTGGTTTTCTGCAGTTGCACACAGTAAAGAGCTGTCCTGTCCAGCATGTACCCATTAAGAAATATTTGTGTAAAACCTATTAAAATTGTTCTAAAAATGACACAAAAGAGGGATGAATTTGACCAAAGTACGTTATATGCTTGCGTGCAAATATCACAATGAAACCCCTTTGTATAATTAATACATACTAAGAAAAAAAGAAAAATAAAATATTCATCTAGCTTATTAATCTTATCAGAGAATGATTTTTGTTTCTTTTTTTTCTTCAAAAGAAACATTGTATTATGAATTCTATTATTTTCTAAATCTCTATGTCATTGATCTCTGCCCTTCCTCCCTTATTTCCTTGGGCTTGGTGTGTGTGTGTGTGTGTGAGCTCATTATTTCACCTTTATTTGTACTTGTTCTTTGATCCATGTATTTTATTTTATTGGCAGTACTGAAGTTTGAACTCACGGCTTGTGCTTGCTAGCCAGGTGCTCTACCACTTGAGCCACACCCAGCATTTTTGTGTTTTAGTTATTTTTCGAATAGGGTCTCACATTCATGCCTGGGCCAGCCTGGTCCACAGTGTGATTTATAACTCTCTAAGAACTGGGATGACAAGCACCACCACACCCAGCTTTTATTGCTTGAGATGGAGTCTTGTTAACTTTTTCCTCAGCTAGCCTCAAACTGTGATCTGCCCTTCTCTACCTTCCAAGGAGCTGGGATTACAGTTGTGAACCACCATGCTCAGTCATCTGATCAATATATTTGAAACTATAAATACCCCTCTAGGTACTCTCAGTTGTACCTGATAGATTTCGATATGTGTTCATTTTATTTCTGAAACACCTGTTATGGTTTCACATGGCACACCGTGTATACTCCTTGGGTATTTGTCATTCCTCCCTTTTTAAAACAAAGGGTAGGGTCCATACTTACTGATATGCTCATATAATCTCAGTGTGGATGTGGGGGATTTCATTTGTTTCCAATGTTAACACCGCCTTGTCTTTCAGGTGCAGCAGTTACAAGGAGTCTACAGTTTGCAGGAGCAGCACTTCTGGACCTTATGCTCTGACGTTTATGTTGGGACCTTGAAAGTACTAGTAGCACCTGATGCCGATGCCCGGTGGATTTTAAGCCAGACACACAACATTTTTACTCAGGTCTGAGTTTGCTACTAACCTCTTTTAAGGGTCTTAAAATCGATCGTATTTACTAGTTTTAAAAATATTTAACTCTGTTACCTTATAATAAGGATTCGATGCAATCACGATTTACTACACAGCAGTATGCTGGCAGCACTTACTTAGTCTAGAATTTTCACAGGTATGTCTCTTTCTTAATAGACTGTAGGTAAGTCTGCATCATTGTGACTTTCACATGAATCAAACAAGACCTGCACAGTATGTCTGGATCCTTGTCGTGCTTCCATGTTTCAGGGGCAAAAGAAGAACGAGGCAAGCAGGAAGCTGTCCATTCGCTGCCCTTCCAAATCTTGCTTTTCTCAACCTTGAATTCTCTTCTGCTTAGAGTATGCATGTCCATCCTCACAGCGTGAGCTTCCCTAGACACAGTTTCCCCTCTGAAAATAGTTAAGAAGCATGCAAGCAGCAGCTGCCTGTGTTCAGAACTGCTGAAGCTGTAACCGAAGTAGGTAAAGGGACAGGGTCTTCTGGTAACTGTAGAAATTGTGGCTTTTAAAAATGGCTGAGCTGGAAAGTTTACTCAGCTGCTTCTTTGGTTTTGGAAACTGCTTTTGGACTTTGAATATTTTGAGCCCTGAAAAACATTTTAAGCCTTTTTATCAGCTAAGGTCATGACAATTTTATTTCATTCCTTGAAGATACCAGGGTCTTTTTGAAGCTTGCAATGAATATAGTTCAACTCATTTTTTCCCCTGGGGAGAGAAGGGGACCTCCGCCACTAATATTCTGTATTTAATATAGTTAATGATACTAAAGTTATTTTATGACTGCTTTTTTACTTCTCACATATTCAAAACTGAAAATTTTAAATTTATTTTCCTTTTCTGCATATATCCTAGTAACACATGTCTTTATAATATCAGGGCTTGCCATACATAGCCTTTTCATTTAATTTCATGAAAGTTAAAGATCTTCAAAATTACATTTTTTTAAGTACATCTTATTATTCATACATTTTACTCATCAAAAGTGACACAAAGTGATCTTTTTTGTTTGTTTGTGTTTTTGTGGTGATAGGGATTGAAAACCTAAAGCTTGGTGCATGCTAGGCAAGTGCACTTGAGCGACACCCCCAGCCCTCTTGCTTGTATTCTTTTTGAGATAGGGTCTCTCATATTTTGCCTGGACTGACCTTGAACTCAAGATCCTTCTGCAGCCTCTGCCTCTGGAGTACTGGGATTATAGGCATGCACCACCACATCTGGCTTAGATACATTTCCTTTAGAACAATTTGAAAGTCTTAGTTTCAAAAGAAAGATTTTTTGCACTAACAACTTATACCTTTATGTTTATTACATGTATATATATATCTTTCTTAAAACTAATAATCATAATTTAAGCTATAGTATGTAGTTAAAATATTCTTGTTAAAACTTAGATGAGGATAACTTTAAGCTAAAAAGACTAATATAAAAGACTATATAAAAGTCTAGCTTTGTGATAATTTGGGAGCAGTGTATATTAGGTATTGTCTTTTTAAATCTAGCTGAAAAATTCACCTTGTTGTGGCTGAACATAGAGCAAGGTAGTGAACTGCCAGAAGTCACTTCAGCACTTGGATCCCTTTGACATCATTAGTTAAATGACAGTCCAGTTTAAACTGTAAGGTGTTCTTTTCATATAGAAAAACATACTCTTCTCTCCTATTCATTTAGACTAATTTTTTTTTAAAAAGTTATCAGTTGGGAATTGGTAAAATGGAAAGATTATCTTTTGTGTTAAAAGAAAGTGGGATAGTGGATTAGAAGGCAATTTAACATTTTATGTTTTTGTTTTAATCTGGCCAATATCCTTTTATCAGTTTTTAATGACATACTTCACAACTGTAAGTAAAATCTTGACATTTTCATATACTTTTTATTGGAAATGTTTGTTGAGAAGACTCTTTATCCTCCTCAGTTCCATACAGCACAGAGGGTAGCCAAGCCTCAGCCATCCTTCCTCCTTGAGAACTTCCCACCTCTCCTCCAACCCTCTAGAGGCCTTTCTCACTAGGCCTGTTAAGTCACGTTAAGTCACCACCCCTGCTCCTGCTGTAGCTTCCTGAGCTCTGTTCCCTGTCCTCAAAATAGAAGTTAACACTGATGCCCAGGAAGGAGCCCAAATGAGAGCTCCTGAAATTCCAGACTCTCCACCTCCACCGCCTCCTGTGCTAATAATCCCTTCCGCTTTCTGTCTAGTGGCCTTGCCGCCCTGCTCTCTGCTTGAGGGTGCACCGGGAGCAGATGGTGTCTCCCCTTTTCCAGGTGGATTGCTGTGTTTTCATAAGGGGCCTTAGTCAGGCTTTAGTAAATGGTGGTTTCTCTTGCCTGCCCTGCAAACTTTCCTTTAGTCATCCTCTCAGTCTTTGTATTTGAACTCCACCAGAACTCAGCCACCTCAGGGCTGGAGTAAACAGCCACAGATGTGAGGTCACTGTGTTCCTAGGTTGGTTGTGTTTAATTAATCCATGTGTTTTAAATGCTCATTAGTGAGTTAATAATAGAGGAGATAGCAACAACAATAAGACCAGTGGCAGCAACAGCTCCATCTATTAAGAGCCGCCTAGCACTAATCTGTCCTCACAAGAAAGCCACATCCATGTTATTTTTATTTATTTATTTATTTGTTTTTATGGTGCTAAGAATTGAAACCAGGGTCTTGTACATGCTAAGCAAGCACCATTGACCTATGCCCCCACCCCTTGGTGTTTTTTAGACAAGGTCTTGCCGTGTAGTCCAAGCTGGCTAGAATTCACTATCCTACAGCCTCCACCTCCCAAGTGCTGGGATTACAGTTGTGTACCACCGCACTTTGCTGTGTTATTGTTTTGATTTATACTTTAGTCACATTCACTAACTCTTTTTCTAACTATAATGTTTTACTCATATGGAAGAGTAAGGGAGTTTTTCAAGGCTCCATTTTAAAGGCATAAAGATTAATATTATATATATGTTGAGTCAAAAACTAAAGTGAAAAGTTTCTGTGGCTTTTTGAGTGGCAGAGAATACAAATAAAACAATAATTTTCTACAGTCATATTCCTGTTTATTTTTCTCACTTTTAAACTTCTTTTTTGTTCTTTATTCAACAATGAGTATCTGTTGAAAATACTCTAAGTGTCTGCATCCAGGTCAACATTTAGGAATGTAAAAATGTTCAAAGTAACTAATTGCCTTTCGCATTTAAAAAGTGTAGACTGCTAGAATGTTTCAGGTCTTTGTGGCGTGCATAAGGTACCTAAAACCTAGTTTGCATTCGGGTGGAGGTGACTTTGGAAATTCTACTTTTGTCTCTACTTTGAAGGAAATTGAAAGAGCTTCCCGTTTGGGAAGCTCAGAACTGAAGCGGTCTCGTTGGGGCAGACTGATGAAGCAAAGATGATTTTTTTCAATTTTACTGAGCTTTTGTGGAAGGCTGTAGCCCCTCAGGGGACTGATATCAGCTTGAGTAATTAACTCATAATTATGCAAAGATCATTTATCTGGCCTCTTTGTTTTTCTTCTTTCTTTTTATTGCCTTGGGCTACTTACTTCTTATTAGCAGCTTCAAGGAGTTAAGGCTTGGAGTAAGGAAAATGGGAGGGGTGAAAAAAGGAGCACAACTTACTTTACCCATTTTACTTTCACCAAGAATTTTGTCAGAAGAGAAGATATTAAGCAATTTATTTTGGTAGTAGTTGTTTTAAAATTACACATGTAAGACTTTTTCAAAATAGTTCCTAAGTACATTTACTTCAGGAGCCATCTAGATTAAGTCACACAATTATAATATTCACAATGATTTATAGTAGCTTTTATACTATACAAAACCCTTTCATGTGTTCACACATGACCCTTACAGTGGTAATTGATACGTAGCAAGGATTCATTACATATCTGTCAAATATTGGCTGAATATATGCTACTTATTGACACTTTTAAAACTAGAAAACAGATTTGGTTTTAATTTGTAGTTAAAGATCATACAAATGCTAAGTTTTGTCCTTTTTTTCTACCAAGAAGTTACTAGCAATGTATTTTCTTCAGTTTGATTAACAAAATTTTGAAATAATTGCCTCAGGAAGGATTTTTTTCCTTAACGTTTTCTGTGCTGGCAGGCCTCTAGGCCTCTGTCCAGCTTTTTTTATTCCATTAGAGCAGATCCTGACTACTCGGACCGCCATTAGTGTTGTGTGGAGCCCCGCTACCCGAATGCCACAGTAAAAGCAATGCTAGAAAGCAGCATTTTGAGGAGCCCAGAAATTACTGTAAAGAGGTAGTGGTTAAGAGATTTTCACCTTGCTCTGTACCTTTCAGAAATTCTAAGGTACTGCCAAGAAAGCTTATTTCTGACTGATTTGATTTTGATTGGTGGAAAGTGATTAAGAGAAATTTAGTTCGTTCAACAACTATTTGTTGGTCACTTGCTGTGGCAGGTGCTATTAAGGCTCTGGGAGGTAGGAATGAAAAAAGAAGGAATTCTTTCTCTTGGAGAGATTGTGTTATAGTGGGAGAACGATGATAGCCAGTTTTATATGCCACCAGGTGGCACATGTCTTGGGTAAGGAGAGTAAGACAAACTTGGGGGTGGGGGTTACTTAACTCCTCTTGCTCCAAGCTTGCTTTGTTCTCCATAGCATTGTCATCTGATGTTCTGTATTTCCTCATCTCCCTTCCCTCTCCAGACCCCAGGAGAATATAAACTCTGGGAGGGCAAGGATTAGTGAAGTAAAGGCATTTTGTATAGGATGGTCAGGATTGGCCTCACTGGCCTGGATGTGATGAGAGTATGTCTTGTAGATATCTTGATGAACAGAGTTCCAAGCAGAAGGGCCAGTGTGCCAAGGCAGAGTGGACAAAGAGAGGAGGATTAAACAGTAAGATCACACAGGAAATTGGGCCAGATTATTTAGGGCTTTGGAGGCCATCATAAGGACTCTGAGCCTGTAAGGAAGAAGGAAGTATAAGCAGTTGGAGGGTTTGAGTGGTGGAGTGGCATCATTCTAGTTGCTCAGCTGGGAATAGACCAATGGAAGGCAAAGACAGAATTATGCAAACCAGGCAAGTGGCCATTAACAAAAGCTAGGAAAGAGATGATAGTGACTAGAGCCAAGGTGATAGCAATGGGGAACAATGTAAGGTGGCCAGATTCTGGGTTTGCATTATTTTGGAAGTGAGGCCAGTAGGTTTTGCAAATGGCTTGCATGCTGAGTGTGAGGAAAAGAAAACCGTTTAAGTGGAGCAGTGCTGAAGGTGGAACTGATCTGTAGAAGCCCATAGGGTCAACAGGTTTGAGGGGAAGAAAGTTCAGTTGGTGATGTTATGATGCTGTCAGATAACCAAGTAGAGCTGTCAAGTAGGTCAAAGTCCAGTCTCGAAACATAAAGTTAGGACATAGGAGCACATGTATAGATTATACTTAAAAGTCTGGATATGAGAGGGGATCATTTAGGGAACAAGTGCAGAAGAATGGTTCTGAGGGATGAGCCTTAGGGATTTCAGTGTTTAATGTTTACTGATAGAGGGAAGGACCAGCAAAGCAGACTGAGAAAGACTGGCAAGTGAGGTAAAGGGGCAACCAGTGTCTATTCTCTGGAGGCCACCAGAGTAAAAAGTATAGTCGGAGGTTAGTGATCATCTGTATTATTGCTGACAGGTTAAGATGAGGACGAGAATTAAATGCTGGCATTAAACTTGGAGGTGACCTTGACAGTTCTAGGGAAGTTGTGGGAAGAGAACAGGAATCATAGCATATATGACAGCATCTTTTGCAGAAATTTCATATCCAGAAAAGTAGAGGTTGGGACTACACCAGGGATGTATTTAATAAGGATTTTTTTTTAAGGTGGAAGAAATTACAGTGTGTTGTATGCTAATAGAAACGATCTAGTTGAGAGGGGGAATGGATAACGTAGGAGAAACAAGGGCAAGGTGGAGCAAGCACTATTCTTTTTACTTGCCATAGCTGTGAGACCCTCTGCTAATTGAGCCCCAGCCCAAGAGCAAGTCTTTTTATCAGTGTATAAATACAACAGTTCTACAGGGAGCTTTACATATGTGCTTACAATGTATCTTAGATTCATCCCCTCTAGTTCTCCCTCATCTTCTCTCCACCTTCTTAGAACTGTTTCAACAGGTTTCATTCTTCAGTTTTCATATATGGGTACAAAATACATCCACCATTTTCACCCTCATTCACCCTCTCCTTATGCCCTCCCCCCTCCCAGTGGCACTCACCTCTGGAAAAAACCTGCTTTACCTTCCTGTCCTTCATTTTTTTAAAGTATATATTGATAGTCCAAGGGAGTATCACCTTGGCATTTCAGACCTGCATACATCATGCTTTAACCAGACTCACCCACCCCCATTAGTCACTCTTTATCACTGTGGTCCCCTATTCAACAGCTTATAAGGCATTACATTATATTACCTTCATATTATAGACTCACTGTTTCAGTACATTTCATTCTCTTAACCTTCTCTTTCCCTCTCTCACCTCCCATAGTCTCCTCAGGCAGACCTACTAATAAATCTTGTTCTCTTTTACATATATATAGAGACATATATGATCATATATGTACTTATGTGTACATTTAATTTATAGGTCTAGCTTCTACATGAGGGAAAATGTGATCTTTAACCTTTTGAGCCTGCCTGACTTCACTTAACATGATGCTCTCTAGATCCATTTTCCTGTGAACAGCATAATTTCATTCTTCTTTATGGCTGCATAATACTGCATTATGTATGTATACTCATTTTCTTAGTCCATTCATCAGTTGCAAGGCATCTGGGCTGTTGCCAAAGCTTGGCTCTTGTGAACAGGGCTGCAGTAAGCATGGGAGTGCACATGGCTCTATCATATCCTGGAGCAAGAGCAGTCTTCTTGACTAGCAAATTCGTATCTGAAATTGAAGATGTGGCTGAGGAAGCAGTTGGTAGTCACGCTTATTAGACGTGCATGTTGATTATTTATCATGGACGGGTTCGGTAGGGATGATTTCCTCTAGTTTTCTGAAATGTGCACTATGTTACACACTAATTTTCTAATTTTTTTCTAACTTTTCAGGCTGGAGTGAGACAGCTGTATGTACAGATCGACTTTGCGGCCATGTAGTGAATACAAAGAAGTCATTACTTTTTGGACCAAATTTTTCTGGTACTGTACAATCTGAAACATTGTACTCAGCTCTTTGAAACAGAGAACTCACTGCTACAACTCCCCAGCACCAAGTACACAGGTAGAGCCAGCCGTGTGCTCTGCCAAGAGCTCCTGGCTGAGGGAGGGTCACGGCTAAGCCATCTCCTGCACCCTCAGTCTTGCTTTTTTCCCCTCTGAGCCATTCTGATTTCTGAGGTCTCTGGTTTTGTTCTAGGGTGTTGGTTTGTCCTTTCTTTTTTTTTGGTGGAGGAGGAGGTTCATGTGGAATGCCTCACCGTCTCCCCTCATCCCACCCAGCCAGTGAGATTGAGACTGTGGGCCTCCAGCCATCTGGAATGTCTTCAGTGAAGCTGCTGGAAACTCCTGCTTTAGTCCCACAAAACCAGTGTTAAAAAAAAAAGGAAATCTGTTTTATACGTAATGTCACAGTTGTTGGCATTCCTCAGTATAATCGTATGTTTGTAAAGTTGTTTGTACCTTGCAAACTTATGAACCAAACCATATTGGGTTTTCAAAGTGCCTTTGTATCAGAACATGTACCTGCCAGCATAGAAATGTACCATCCAAGGTCATGGATGTTTTTCAGTGGACATTCTGTAATCTGTGCAAACTAAGACTCATGCTGCACGTGCACAGATCATCGTCCTGTGTGCTTCCAGCATAGGCTTCCATATGTGAAGTTTCTTTTTATTGTTTTAGCTCATCAAAAAAGGGGTTATTTTGATTTTTAAGAAAATAATACAGTAATCACATTAAATTACTGTGTGGACTGTGTTTTCAAAACTTTGCAAGTCCCATGCATTACAGAGAAAGTGGTTTTGACCTGGAACATCTTCTAAATCCTAACTTTCCATAGAAGCTCTGTGGTAGAATTTCTTTCAGCTCTCTTGGCATTTTTATGGGTGTTATTACTGACTGGAAAAGGCAATGCAGACTGAAGGCAGAAATGGCTGGGTCAGTGCTACTTTTACTCATCCTTTCTTCAAATGCAAGTGATAGTTTTTCTCCTCTGTAACCTTTGCGTAAGTGCAGTTGCTTTCATGAATGCTACAGCATTTGAGTGAGTCTGAACTACTGAAGGGATGGCGCAAATGGGTTAATATAGAGCTTTTTATAACACAGGTATCGTAGAAGTAAGTTGATTTTCCAGGTTCTTGTGTATTTGAAAAATAAAAATGCAATTTGAGATGACAAGTGCTCAAACACTCAAGTATTCTGTGCTTTACGAAGAGCTGTTGGACATTTTCCCGTTCTTTTTTTTTTTAAATCACAACATATATTCTTCCCTTTAACTGAAAATAAAAAGGGGGGAGGGGGTGGAATCCTTACCAGGTAAACATGGTTGTTGGGATTCTCAGGAGTATGGCTCAGTAATCAGCGCTTTTCAGTAAGGTGGTAGAAATTATAGACGCTGTGTGGGTTTTACAGTATCTTCCCCCTACTTCTGACCTAGAGTTTGTGAACTTACTTCGTGTTTTCTAAACTGCCATAGAGTGCCATGAACTGTCTATGGTCTCCTTTTTGCAAAAACAGTATTTTGAAACATGTCTGCTTATTGCCAGGCAGTTCTAAAGCTAAGAATTCCTGTAGTAAATCGTGTTTAATGGAAATAATTGAGTGTTTTAGGAGGGAAGTATAAAAGGAAATGTCCCAGTACTCACATTTGTTTTCGTTACAGTTGTAGCCAGTCATTTGGAAGTCTAACCATTACCACGTCCAGTGGAACTCTGGGATATTCTGTGGGCTTGGCATATTACCGAAAATGACAGGTCTGGATGAAGGCAGAGATTTTGGATGTGTGCCTTTATAAACTAATTATGTGTGACTACACTGATGGTTCACATATGGAGATAACTGCATGGGTTTACAAAATGTGCCAGTGTGTTTGAAGATCTAAATCTGCTTTTCACTGAGCCCTCCATTCTGAGTGGGTTTTGTTAAAATGTGTATCATTTTATTCAACTGTACACTCAGTGCACAAATCTATGAATGTTTTTCCCCATGATAAGGCATAGAGTATATGAAGTGTTTGAAGAGAAACTACTTTTGCACTTTTTAAAAGAGATCGCCAGCTCATAACATTTAGCAGGTTGGCATTATCATTTATGCTTTAATGTCATTGTATCTGTGTGCACAGCAGGAAAAAACAGTGGTAAAGCCGCTGTGTCTTTGACACAGAGCTATCACTAAAGTAGGTAATTTCACTGAAAAATGCTGCCTGGTTATGGTTACAAAGGAAACTTAGATGCCCTAACACTGAACTAACACAGAAACAGAACAATCTGTATATGAGTATAATTTTGCCAGTATTTTCAAAAACAAAGTTTTCTATGGGAGAACAAATTTGTATCACTCGGGAAGTTTACCTTTCCAGGTTTTTAAAATCTGTTGTATTACTCAGTGAAAAGCTTACCACACGCACAACTTCCTGGATTTGCTAACAGTTCCCCTGCACTGGTGAGGGGCGGTGCCTAGTTCATGTCCAAGCTAGGGTGCCTCACGCTGTCATCTGTACCCATCTCCTGCAGTGGAGGAGTAAAGTGGTAACGGGTGTCACTGGCATTGTGACTTCCCTTGGATCTGGACTGTTGCAGCATTCTTCAAAGCCTAAACATACACCCATAACAAAATACTGTGACTTTTGTGCACCTCGGTAAAGCAAATCATGAACTCAAATTGGAGTTGATCAGAATCTTGTTTTTACCTGCTGTGGACTCAGCAGTGTTTAAATGTTAATCTGGTAACACCCTGGTGTGTGATGATGGGGTTTATAAATAACAGCATTACACTAACATAGAATTTCACATCTAGTGGAGACTGCATTCTAGTTCTACCTCTCATTTCATAGAGGAGAAAACTGAAGCCCAGAAAAGCTGACATTTCCTCAGTTACAGGGATAATCAGTGGCAAAGCTGAGACCAAAATTCACATCTTCTGACTCCAAGTCAAGATTCTTTTTACTGTGTTGTGCTGCCCTCCAGTGTAATATTTGCCTTTCTATAAATGTGATTAAATATTATTTGTAAGTAAAGGTCACATGACCTCCATTTTGGTACATTAAGGCACTTTATAAATGGAATTCTGCCTTGTTTTTCATATCTAATTATGAAATTTAGATTATATTTCCACAGTATTCTTTGTGGAAGACACTATAATGAATGTTTCTTTACTTTTTTATTATGAATCCAGTTCCTGACTTTTAAAAAGCAATGATACTTGCACAGTGCACACTTACTTGTGAGAATACTTTGGTAACGGGCCAAGGCTCAGTCCAGTGTAAGCATTGCTAAGTTTCCTTATTTTATGTTCTGTACACTGGTACTTTTTAGAAACCCAGGCCAGTTCATTCACAGGTCATATCATTTCAGCCTTGCCACTTCGCTGTTTCAGTCACTGGAGAGCTTTTTCATTTTACAAACTCTCAGAGCTGTGCAAAATTAGACATTGGATGTTGTATAGAGTAAATACTTTAATTCAGTAGAGTGAAGTTCTGAAATCTTTTTGGAATTCCAAATGCTAAACCACGATTCCTGATTCTTCATAAAGGCATTTCCTTGACAGTTTTTTTTTTTTTCTTACAAAAGTCACCATTTTTCAAGCAAATTATTTTCAAATTTATGAGAATCTTGGGAAAAAATGCAGTGACTTCTTCTCTAAAGAATATTCATTTAAGGTTTTATTTAGTGGAACATTGTTTCAAGACATGATCCCCTTAGGATTAAGACAGACTCAAAGAAAGAGAAGAATGTTTGCAGAAGAGAAGCAGAGAAGGACAGTTCTGCTTAGAGGCCAGATTGAGGCACAGGCCTTTCATGAGGTCATCTTCGGTTTGTTTAAGCATTTCCTAACTGCACATTGTACAGAGTGAGGGGAATAACTTACCACTGAGTGTTCATGTGCCAGGCACTTACGGGCCTTTCTTACGCTACCACATTCACCCCTCACATTTCTATAAAGAATCTTGCATGATTTTATAACTGACAACATTTTCAAAGATATTTTCTGGTTCTCATAACAACGTGAATGAGGAATTCTTAACCCTTGTTAGATCAGGAAACTGTCAAGGGAATTTAAATGACTTGCTCTTCTTTGCCTGGGGAAGAGCCAATGGTATAGCACTGACTCAAAGGCCAGTACTTTGCTGACATCACTCTGTTTTAAGAATGTCATTCCACATTGTTTTCACGATCCAAGAATTGTATCAGATCTAAACAGGCTCTCCAGAAAATCAGTGAAAAATTACCATGACAAAATTTTTATGGGCGAACAGTTATCAACTATTCAAACTGGCTCTTTCTGTGCACTCTTATGTTTATTTTCTACCTTTGCCATTATCTAAAACTGCAGACCAAGATGAGTAACCAGAACTCAAGCACTTTTAAGGCCATTAAGAAATAGAAAGTCCTGCTTTTACTCAGAGTAAGCTCAAGTGATTCAAATGATATAGCACCCTCTCTGTCAACAGGAGGAACTGAACTCCACCCTACAGAATTGCCTTCCAAGAAGAACAAATAATTTTGTATTGCAGGAGAAAAAGAAGTAGGATTTGATTTAAAACATTACATTTTATACGTATCTTCACAAAATGAAGAAAAAAAATCTTAATTCATAAATGTCTATTCCTTTCACCACAGCTTTGAAAACTTAGTATTTGTAATTTTGGTCATGTTGGAAAACTTGTTTTAAAAAAAAGTCTTCCTGTGTCTTGTATATCCTTTTGTCCCCAGACTTAGATGGATTTACACTTCATGCTCACGAAATGCTTGGTTAAATAACGAGTAACTATTGTAGATAGTAGTAGATACAATAATAAGGGTTAATGGCAGATAAACCTGTAATTTACTTATTACAGAAAACATCTCAGCATTTCTTTGGCATTTTTGCACAAATAAGTGACTTAATATTCCCTTTGTCCATTATTTTTTCAAGTAGCCCTGTGAGCTATCACTCTTTGTAATACGGAAACAGTGAAGGTATACAGTTTTATTTTCCAATTTGGATATTGCTGAAAAGGAATTTGGCAGGGCTAGGACTGTGCAACCTGGGTCACTTGAATTTCTGGATTGTGTGTAGCCAAACTAGGAACTGCACTGTCTCCTTTGATTTTATGGAAAGTTGCCATATTCGTATTAATTTAAAGACCTATGTTTGCCTTCTGTTTTATTCCCAGAGATGTCATCATCCAAAACTCTTTCAGAGGTATTTCTTGAAGGTGCTTCTATAAAAACAACACTACATATATTCATTAAGTGGTTTAAATGTTCCTAGAATACTTTTTTGCCTTTTTGGTCTTACTCTCCAAATACTAAATTTTAGTAGGCCATCCCTTTGTTTCTTCATTTTTTTTCCTTTTCATTGTTGCAGTCACTTTATGGAAGGTGAAAAAAAGCTTTATTTTATATTTTAGTATCTTGAGTTTCATTTGTGTGTCACATGATGTGTGCATCGCCCTCAATGAAAATTCTGGAACTAAATGTTAACAGCCTGTCAAGTACTTCCATTGCTTTCCCAAATAGCAAACGCAGTGGAATTTTATTCCTACCTGTGCCATTATCCCCAGACTTCTCTCAGTTTCACAGAATGGGTGTTACAGACTGAACACACTGTGAATGAAAAGTTGCCAAACCTCTTACTAGTACACTTAACCTCCCTGCCTTCAATGGTTTTAAGCATATTGGCCAAGTTTGGATTTGGGTTCGATTCCTTTGGTATGGAAACATTTCTGTAAATGTGCGAGGCTAGGTAGGAATGTCACACTTCACACTTTGTGATGTGGCTGGAAAGTGCTTAAGTTATGATTTGCCCAAGTGCAATACAACAAGTGCATAATGTATATTTCACTTTTCTACTTGCACACATTCACGTATATATTTTGTTTAATCTCAGATGTATTTTAAAAGAATCATGAACTGTACCAAAATTCTTTTCAATAAAATTTCTGTTTAAATCTTATACCTGAGTCGTGTCTTACCAGCTTGATGAACTGCAAAAACACTTTTGCAGTGGAACACATTAGGAGAGAAGATATCTAAAAAGGTTGGGTGTCCATCTTACATTGCATGGAGCATTGCTGAGGTTTTCTTTCATCTCTTTCCTCATAAACACATTAACTGCAGATATTTCCATTAACACCAAATTGTTCTTTTATGTCAATCTCTGTAGATGGCCTTATCTTATGAAATTAACACCAAAGCGTCTGACAAGAACCTCTTTTGTCCTTCCAAGGTCTTCCTTCTAATTGGAAGCAATTCTTTTTTTTTTTTTGCAGCACTGGGGATTGACCTCAGGGCTTTACACTTGTTAGGTAGGCATTCTACCACTTCAAGCCACACCTCCAGCCTGCAATTCCTTTTTAAAATAACTTCATCACAAAAATCCCAGGCCCTACTCATCCCACCTTCTCAAAGGTATTATCAGATCAGCCTCTTTACCATCAAGCTTGCTACACTAAGGACTTTATCATTTGTGGCACATGTGCTTCTTCCTGTTCATGTCCAACCATCTGAACATGACCAGCCAGTGGTACTCTGGCTTCACTTCTCATTATCTAAAGGCCATCGGTGGTACGCCAGAACTACTAGCATCACAAACTCAAAGAGGAAAAAATGTCATCTTTTCTATCCACATCTCAACTACCAGTTTATGTTAGAATTCCTACAGAATTCTTAGAAATCTAAATATTGCCTTTGCTGCCTTGATTTCCTAAATCTTTACCCTTTCACAAGTCCTTCCTTCCCTTCCTTCCTTCTTCTGAAATCTCTAACTCATCTTTCCCATTCCTACTGCCTGTTCCAGGAGCTACTGATGACTGCAAGCAGCACCACTTTGGACCTGTCTGGCTTCCCAACTGTTCCATGCCCAGCTTTGAGGTACATCCATCTCACCCCTCACCAACACAGAAAAACAATTCTAACCTTGGCAGAGTCTAACTTTTTCCTGGGCATTTTGAATCAGCTGCTCTACCCTGGCTTCCTGGGTACTTTGTGGGGACCGTGCTACATACTGCACTTTGACTTGCTAGGTCTCAACACCTACCAGGGGCTCCCTGCTTTTCCTGTGTTCTCTGGAGTTAGTCTGCCTAACCGAAGGCTATGGTGGTCTATGGATACCTTTAGAGGAGCCTGCTGTATACACAGACTTAGGCAAGCTGTTTACTACAGTACATCACGAATCTTTCTTTAAAAGAAGTTTGCTTCCTTCCCCCAGAAGCTTTGCTGTGTCACACTGGCAGACTAAATAAGCTTTCCAATTTGTATTTCAGTCCTCTGCTTAGGATCTTGAGTGGCTCCCTAATGCTTATCAAGTCCTCCAAGCTCTTAATACTTTCTTTCCCTCCTTATTTAATCACAGTACCTGGAGTACAGCAAGGAACAAACTTTCATTAGCCTTAGGTCAGAGAAAACAAACACAGGGAGAAGCAAACGTGTTCAAGAGATGTAAACAGAAAGACAGCATTTTACTACTTTCCGTTCTATACAAGGGAGAAACAGGAAAACAGTACTTTAATAAGATTCTAGTTCATTCAAACTGTCAGCTCTTCCAGTCCTCCTTCAAGTTATGAAATCTGAAGCTCAGTGCATGTTAGCAACATTCAAATGTACAATTTCAGTTTCATCTGCTGAATTCCTAAGACCTGTTTTAAGGTCTTCATTGTTTATGAACCCTAAAAATCACCCTCCAATCATCAATGCTTAGATGTGATTCTACTTTGTACACCAAAAAACCTAACTAAATAATCCAATTTCCCAAGTTCCATGCTGAGCGAAACAAACCTGAAATACAGCCAGAGACCTACAGTCTTTGGAAACTGAACAGCCCACAGAAGGCAGATTGGTAATTGCATTCTGCATTTAACAAGACTAACTTCTCCACAGAATTTAAACAACACTCAGAATCTCTTATGTAATACTCAAAATGTCCCAAGTTACAACCCAAACTTGGCTGCCAAGGTACTGCAAAAATTTCAACTTGCAATAAAAATCAATAGACACCAAGGCTGAGATAACATCAGTGTTGGAATTGGCTTAAAGTAACTATTACAAAAATAATCAAGCAATCATAAATAATTGTGCAATGAATATTGACATAAAAAAGCAGAAAACTAAGTGGAAATTTTAGAATAACCAAAATTTTAAAAAGAGGAACCAAGAGTCAATAAACTTGAAGATAGGTCAAGAAGAATTATCCATTCTGAGTAGCAGAGAAAAGTTTAAAAACGAAACACCTCAGGCCTGTGGGACAGCAGAAACTGTCGACTGTCTCTCTTACTAGCGTTTGAACAGACTTGATGAAGTTTGCGGTGCTAAGAACACACTTGAAGAAAGAATGCCTATAAACTACCCAAGTTTGGTTACATAAACCTACAGATTTAAGAAGCCAAGCAAACCCCAAAATATCCATATCACGTCAAACATTTACAATCAAAATCTTGTAAGCTCTTTTGTATACGTCAACAAGGTCGTCTGAACATTTAAATGGCAAGGCAAAGGAACCAGAACTAAAACAATTTTGATACAGTAAGTTAAAGGAATCGCACTATTTTTAAAGATTTGCTACAAAGCTAAAGTAATCAAGACAATGTGGTGCTGTAGAAGGGGAGCCGTGTGGATTAACAGCAGCAAGAAGATTCTGGAGATAGACCAACACGGTTCAATGGAGAAAGAAAAGCCTTATCAAGTTGTACTGAGGCAACTGAACATCTACAACAGGAGCAAAACAGAAAAAACCTACACTTCATGCAAAAAATGCAAAATGTAAAACTATAAAACTTCTAGATGAACACATAGAAGAAAAATCTATGTATTCTTAAATTGGTGATGGATCTTTAGATATGGTAAGAAAAACATGATCCACATAAGAAAATAAAAGGATAAAGCAAATTTTTTCAGAATTAAAAACTTTCACTCTCACCAAAAGTATAATTAAGGGCCATAGGAGAAAACATTTGCAAATAACATCTGACAAAGAATTTGTATCCAGAAAATGTTCAAAAAGAACACTCAAAACTTATCCCCAAGAAGATAATCCAATTTAAGAGGGCAAAAGACATAGACTGTACCAATGACAAGCCCATGAAAAGGTGTTACCATAAGCCATTAAGGAAACAAAACCCTGATAAGGCACCAGTACACCTATCACAAGAGCCAAAACAAAAGACAGCAGAAGTACTGGCAAAGATTCAGAGTGACGGGAACCCCTGTGGGAATTGGTAGGAATGTGAAATGTACAGCCGCTTTTGGAAATCATTTTGGCAGTTTCTCATGGAGTTAAATGTACACTTGCTATGTGACCCACCAATCCCATTCTCGGGTATCTTCTTTAGAGAAATAACTTACAACCACACAAAAACCTGTATGTGGCCATGTGTACAACTCTATTCATAATTACTAAGAAGCAGAAATAACCCAAATAGCTCTCAAATAATGAACAGATGAAAACAGTACTGCATCCATACAAGAGCACACAGGTTAGCACTAAAAAGGAGTAAAATTCTGATACGTGCAACAACTTGGATGAATCTCAAAGGCATTTATGCTTATAGAAGCCAGTGTCGATTACATGACACTGTCAAAAAGACACTCTCATCTGTTCTCTAGAGAGAGAGAACAGATGAGAGGTTGCAAGGGACTATGGGTAGGTAGAGGGAAAAATAGGGGTCATGGAAGGGAATCCTGGGTTATGAAACTTACATGTTAAGATAATGGGGAAGTTTCACTGTAGAATAAAATAACATTAAAAATAGTGGGTGGTGTAGCTCAGTGGAAAAGTACTTGCCTGCCATGTGTGAGGCACTAGGTTTGACCGCCCTGCCCCTCCTCCCACAGATTTCCAGACAGTCAACTGAAAGCAATACTGTTCATCTTTCTCCTGGTGAGTAACGCAGATTTCATTTTATAGCTTCACTTACATCACTGAGAACAGGATTGCCAGACTTAGCAAAAAATAAAGGTGCCTAACTTTTCATTTCAAATAAAACTTGAGCTCCCTACTACCATGCTGGATGGCTTGGGCAATTTCTCTTACCTTGGTTTTCATGAATTTAAGTGGTGTGTTAGGTACGGTTTTCTCTGTATTTATTCTGTCTGGGATGCACTGAGCTCATTGGGTCTGTGTTGAGAGATCTAATTTTGACTTTTATTTATTCACATTTTTTCTGCCCAACTCTTTCTCTTCTCTTCTTGGAAATCCAGTTACATACGTGTTAAACTGTTTGATATCGTCTCCACATGACACCAAGTCTCTGCTGATAAATTCAGTCTTCCCTTCCGCCTTTCTCACCTGTACATGGCTGCTGTGCCCAACAATTTGGTTCTTTTTTCCTTTTGTTTTTAAGTTTCCATTTCTTGGCTGAGGCTCATTTCGTCCACGAGCAGAGTCCTAATGGCTGCTCTACTGTGTCAGCATCAAGGTTACCTGAGGGTGTGTAGTGCCCACTGTCTTCTTTTTAACCACAAAGCCGTGCTTCATGTTTCCCCGTCTCTGGTCATTCTTGATGTCATCAGACTCTGAAGCACCCCACGCTTTGTTCCAGCCAGCATTTAACTCACTGCTAGTCACCTTGATGTTATGGAGGCTTGGGTTTTATATTGTGTTGAAGGCTTGGCCTTAGCTTTAATACAGATCCTTAGTCTTGGGCCCAGTCTTTACTAATTCAAGGCCAGTCTGGGGTTTTGATGGGAAGCCCAGTGTTTACCAAGCCCTGTGACTTGCTGAAGTTCAAACCTACAGTTCTTCTCTTGCAGCAGAGAAGAACCTGTTAGCTTTCCCAGCCTCCGGCTATGGCTTCCCACCAGCTCCTAGGAGTCTTCCTGCACATGCACCGTCCAGGAGTCAGTCAAGGATTTAGGAGACAGATCCAGATTTCACAACTCCTCCTTTGGCATCTTCAATTTCCAGCTCTCCAGCAGCTCCCAATTCCTCCTCTAGGACCCCAGGCCAGGAAGACTGCAGCTTTCCCTAGTTCTAGCCACTGTTCCCCAGAAGGACTGGGAATGCCCCATGGGAAAAGAGTTAGCACAGGGCTCAGCCTACTTCTGTGACTCCTAGTGTCTTAGACAATTGCTTATGATGCCGTGTCCAGAGTTTATAACTACAGCTTTTCCACTATCATCAAAACTAGAAGTCTTTCATTTGATTATTTTTCTTTTGGCAGTACTGGGGTTTGAACTCAGGGCCTCACACTTGCTAAGCAGGTGCTCTACCATTTGAGTTGTATCCCCAGACATTTTTTGCTTTATTTTTCTGGATAGGGTCTCGCATTTTTGTCTGGGGCTGTCCTTAGACAGACAGCAATCATCCTACTTACGCTTCTAATGTATCTGGGATTATAGACACAAGCCACCATATTTAGCTTGTTGATTGAGATGGGGTCTCACTAACTTTTACCCTGGCTATGCCTCCCCAGTAACATTTTGTAATTCTTAAAATTCTGAGGTTTAATACCTCAGAAGAAAATAATACAGAACTGACTCGAAAACACTTGGCTCTCTCCCTTTTTGTGCCCAATAAATTGAAACTGAGATGTTCTGTACATAGTAAAATCTTTTATCCCAAACAAAATATTAAAAAAAATTTCTAGCTAATTTTGATAATAACAGAAAGAAGGAATTTTTTTGTTCATATCTCTATGAAAATTCTCAGAGATCAAATTGATTAGACCATGGAAGTACTCAGAATTGGGCTAACTGAACTATCTCTATTCTGAACTAATAAAAAACATAGAACGTTATGGTAACAAGAGTGTGATTACCCACATATATATAGATATGATGGCATATTAACTGAATTCAGTGATATGATGAATCTTGACCAATCTATTGTTGCTTTCAAACCTATATTTTTAAAATTTCCATTTTGCAGTGAGCAAGTTTTTGGTTTATCTGCTTAGCTACAAAAAATGCTGTTTTCAACCAAACAGCAACTATCCACGGCTGGCCGAGTATTTCGAACTAAACAATTACATAACCTCCAAAATGTAGTAGAGTTAGTCACACCATTAGAATGTCAGAAGGGTGTCATTCTGTGGTGCGTGCTCCCCTGAGCCTTGAGCCAAGGAGTGCTGCTGGGTGGGGGTTTCTCTTCTCACTTCTGCTTTGAAGTCCACACTCCAGCTGCTGTCAGGGTAGCTTATGGTACAGTGGTGAAAGATGACTTTTGTAACAGAAGAAAAGTATATAAAAAACAATCCGTGAGCAGTTAGTAATCATTTATTTTATTTTCTTGCCACTACTGAATTTCTTTCCATTTAAAACTAGGATCAAGGGGCTGGCTCAAGTGATAGAGCACCTGTGGCAAACTCCCCTACAAAACTAACATAAAAGGATTTGAATTCCAGTTACCTCTTAGTTATCCTCTGACCAAACACCTTGCATTTACTGGTCTCCTAAATAAAAACTGCTTTGAAATGATTCTATCTGATGTCTAATCACAAGTATTCCAAAATGGCATATGAGATACCACAGGGGAGAACCATGGCTACAGGAAGTCAGGATTGTTGAACTAAATGATTTCCTTTTGGTCACTTATTTTACACTTAATAGGCAAACCAAAACACCTCCTTAATCTGTTCCACAAAGATGTACACATCCACATCTAACTGGAACTACCACAGGCAAGAAGAAACGTCCGTGTTCAGAGTCCATGGATGCTAGGGCCCTAGGCCACTTCCTGGGAGGGAGAACAGACTGAGCATCTCCATCTCCAGGGGGTGCACACTGCCTCCTGTGATAACCAAGGAGTGCAACGGCTCCCCCAAGTCCACGGTACACATCTGCTGTAGAGTGCCTGCTGCGATTTTCTGGTCCTCAGCTCCAACCCTGGCTAAGCCAACACAGAGTGTCTCCTCGGTGATTGCTATGGAAAAAAAAAAAAAGAAAAAGAAAAAGCTACTGACGTTCAGTTCTGCAAATGTATCATCTCATTCAACACTCAAAAATATTAGCTCCACAAGTACATTCAAAGAAGCCTGAAGAAGCTCAGGCTCAGTGGGTAACCACTCACTACAGACCAGTCACTTCACTCTTTGAGAACATCAAAGGCTTAGAAGAACTTATGTTTTTAAGGATGGTAAATATTTAGCTGTATCCATACTCCTTGTAATTCCAGAGCATTTGTCTTAAAATAGATTCAATGAATTTGTTTATGATATACTTGTATTTTGAAAAAATTCCTGATATGTTCATACTGATCAAGAGATACCAGAAAAACCTGACATTATCAGATAAAAACAGATTTCTAAGTTTCTGCTTGGCTACCTAATTTTACGTGAGAAGCTTCAGTTCTCTCATTTTTTAGAATGGAGTACTATCAGATGGCAGTGGTAGGGCAAGACACTAAAGTAAGCTATAAAGCCCTGAACAAGGAGCAAGCTTTGGGAGCACTGCTTATGCTTTAAGTTCAGAGTAACAACCTCAATGACCTCACAGGGTCACTTTGCTGGTGGAGCTGCAGGGCTCACTGGTTTCACTGTTGCATTGGGAAAGTTGTCCTGACTGAACAGTGACCAACATGGGCCAATGATTTAACAAGGAGGAGCAGGATGAGAGGAACTTGGTACCAAGTTATGAACACAGTGCATCCTGCAAACTGTTTCACAATGTAGTAAGAGCACCTAATGAGAACACAATGCACGATTTCACTCTGCAATCTCTTAACGTATCTCTTCTATCACAGGATGGGGCTTATAGGCAGGCTTCTAAGAACATGACAGGGACACTAAGGACATCTCAGTAGACATTTACTGACAAAACACATTTTACTATATACCGCACGCTGTCTAGCTATTAGGAATAGAAGCATAAACTCTCATCTTTACACTGAAGAAAACAATTCCTGGTCTCAGAGTGGAGAAGAGAAAGTAGAATAAATGTATCTTCGCAGGACAAACCTCACTAGTGATTAAGGTTAAAATGGAAAGTATTTTATCAAAAATACTTACACATTAAGATATTTATATCAAATCTCATTATATATAATTGGTGAAAAAATCCTTACTTCCTGGAATTATGTTAATTTTACCATATTTTTCTTTCAGTACAAGTTGCAGCCTATGGAACTTAAGTTAAAGTTGGAAAAAATGACAAGAAATACAGTACAGTGCAGACACTAACTCTCCAGGAGCAGTGTACACGTATGTCAAGTATTAAATCATACTGCTCTCTATGGAGTGGTAGAGGAATAACAGGACAGCCCTTAGAAGGTCCAAGTACCTGGTTCTTCTCCTCGTAGCCTCTGATTTTGAACAATTTCCAGAAGCTGCTGGGCTGCCTGGTTTACACTCATGTACCGTGGAGGTTCATAGATCTTCCGTCCCCTGAAAGAACAGAAGCCGGTGCCGCTCTTCTTTGCCATCAAGTGACAGAACACAGAACACACTATTAATGCAATCCCTGTATGCTCACGTGGCACAGCCTACGTGAAGCTGAAGTTTTCTTTAAATGTACACCAAAGACAGCATTGCCAGTCACTGCTCCAGCTTTGAAGCTTTCCACAAGTTCTACTTCAACTGAAATGATGCTAGAACAAAAATGTCAAGACAGTTTCGGGATCAAGGCTGTCTTTATTTCAAATCATGCCTTAGGCACAAACATCATTCAACCTAGTTTTGGCTTCATTTACACCCAGTTTATGAGCTCTAGAGCGCTCTTCTATTATTTTACGTTTATTTTTGCAGTGTTGGCATTGAACTTTTTTTACTAACCTGTTTAAACTACAGACTCCTGTTTTTCACTTCTTCCTCTAAGAAAACTAAAGAAATAAAGATCCAAAAATCTTCTACAGTGTTATACATTTACTTCTGTATGCCTCAAGGTCTACCAGGTTTATCCCATGATCATAATAAAAGTGTAAGCTTTTGAAAACTTACAAAATAATTCACAGTGATTATTTTACTGACTTGCAAAACAATTCTCTAGGTCAACACTATCCAATAGAAATATGTCGGCCACAATATAATCTCAATTTCTTAGTAGACACATTAACAAGTTTTAAATGACAAGATTAATTTTAATAACACATTTTGGTTAATCCAATATATGTCAAATGTAATATTTTAATATTTATTCACATAAAAATTAAGGCGACTTATACAAAGTCTTTGAAATCTGGTGTGTACTTATAGCACATCTTAATTTGTACGTTAAACTTTTTATTGAAAATATGGATTTATATTTAAATTTCATAAAATTTGTGGCCATAAAAATAGATTTTATATATTCCAATCTACTTAAAAGTCTTGCAACAGGCATCAGTTTTAAATCAATTAAAATTCAATAAAAAAGTTGGTCACACTGGCCTGGTTTCAAGTGCTCATTAGTCACGTGTGGTGGTGGTCACTATAGTGTGTAGTGCCTCTCTATGCGGAGAAGGAAGCTGAGCATCTTCATACACATGAAGAAATTAAATGCCAGACGGGGAAGTGAAGTGCCAAGAGCACACAACGAGAGGCAGACCTGGGACTCAAGTGTTAAGTGTTTGACTCCACACGGATTTACCAAGTGCCTAGTGACAGACACTGCTCTCAGTGTTAAGTCTATAAACTCTGCAACTCCACTCTTTCTTTCTAGTTACAAGATTAAAATGTTTACTGTGTACCTGTGATGAAAGCTCATTTTTCAACAATTTTTAGAACTCATATCATTTAAGTAGAACTTATTATGAAGGATTTAAAATGGATGTGAGCACTCTCAGAATAAGAACTTACGTGAAGGCTGCTGTGGGGAGGGGGTGTGTGGCCCCGTGGCAATGCGCCTGCCCAGGATGCACAAGGCCCTGGCCTCAACTGCCCACAGAGCTAGGGAGAGGTGCAAGAGTGCACGTACCTAATTAGGTTTTCCACAGACTGCTCCTTTACTTTGATATCTGTAGGAAATGAAGAATCATTTTTTAATTTAATTAAGAACTTTACATGAAACCGTTAAACTGCAATTAGGAGTCAGCTAAGTTTTAGGGAAACATTTTTCCAAGTCTCCAAAATGCCTGTGTGCGAGTTGTTGAGTCTCTGCTCATTCCTGGGCCTCGCCGTGGAAATGAGAGAAGGAAGTCTGTGGTTACAGGCCATCAGTCAGAGAACAAACACGAGTTTGGCTGAGGCCATCCGGCAGAGATCTAGTTTTCTGAGGGAGAAGAAGACAACAGGTAAATGGCGCATAGACTACCTAACAGCTTACTGAAATCTGCTTCATTTCTACCAGCTGAAACTTGCACAGACGAGTGAACAGTCTGCTAATGTTTCTATACTATTCTATTTATTTATTTATTTATTTTTGTGGTACTGGTTTGAACTCGGGGACTACACCTTGAACCACTCTACCAGCCCTTTTTTTTGTGATGCTTTTTTTTCAAGATAGGTCTCACAAACTAATTGCCTGGGTAGTTTTGAACCACAATCCTCAGATCTCTGCCCCCTGAGTAGCTAGAATTACTGGCGTGAACCACTGGTGCCTGGCTCTATTTTTTTTTGTTTTTCAGGCCCCGGGATGTAAAAGCTTCAATGTATGTAACATGAGTAGAAAAAAGTCTTGTCACGTTCTGAAACGAAGCTGTTGCTGTCTTATGAATAGTAGGACATGCTTTAATTACAAATAAATACTTGCACACCAAGTCCTCATTCTTACCAGGCCTTCGGAGCACTGGCTGTGTGTCAGACACTGTGCAGGTAAGGGCACCATAGCAGCCTGCTCAGACATCACGTGATCTCTGCCCTCATGAAACCTGACAATCCACTCACTGCAAATACTTGATCCGCTATATCTTTAATCACTGATGCTTGCTCAACCATTTGGTAAAAGGTAAAAAGCAGACCCACTCTAGGTCCTGACAGGAACTCTGTGCACAACAGCAGGAGCAGCAGCTGCTTCCTGTTTCACATGCCAAGGTCTGTGTCCGCACAATAAATATGGTGTGACTAAGGCGTCTCTGATAGACACTACAACTTTCATAAGCAACTCAACAAGTTTTTCTTATCAAGTATTCTAGAGTTTGCTTACAATGATAGCAGAGATGAACAGGACATTATGATACAACAGGAACCAGTGGTTAAGATTTTTATAAGTTCAACACATTTGTTAATTCATTCACCTTGAACCTGTGAAGTATTAACTTTTTTTTTTTTAATTTAAAGACATGGTCTTACTATGTAGCCCAGACTGTCTTCAAGCCTGTGATTCTCCTACCTCTACCTCCTGAGTGCTGGAATTACAGGAGTATACCACCATTCCTAGCTTTAAATTGTTATTTTTGATAACAAAATCTTTCATATTTTAAAAACAAAAAAAAAGCTGGGGAGAATTTTTACAGGCAAATGCTTTTTAGTTGAATGAGTATCACTTTTAGTGACTGAGTCTCAATTCAGATTGGTTTTTCCTTGTCTTCCCACAGTCCATCATTTTTCCTCTTTAATTCTCCTTGGTAGAATGTAAATTTCTCCTTCTCATCTTAGTACCAGGGCCTAGCATGATTGGAAGCACCCAGCAGATACTCTGAACATCTACTGCCACCAACTCACCAGCCCATCTCAGTCTACTACTAAGCAACGTAAGTTCCATTCCTTCACAAAGTCTCTGTTGGCTTCTCACGTAATGCTCTTTGTTCTGGAAATCTGATATGATTAATGCTGCCCTTTATTAACCTCTAGTTATGTCACAGATATTGTTCTTGTTTCTTGAAGTAAATTTTAAATGCTGTGGTTTCTTACCATGGTTTTTTTTCTCACTAATCCCTGTGGGTTTGGCCCAGTGCAGGCATTTAAAAACTACCAGCTCACATAATGGAAATGCCAGATGAGTGAGTGATGAGATCGACGGCTTGAGAATTTGGAATCTTGACATCCTCTACTTCACACTCCTTCCTGCTTTTGTTAACAGAGCAGGGAAGACATATTGTTTAACCTTGTTTGTCTTTTCCCAGGAAAGCTAAGAAAAGAGACAGCTCTTAGAAAGAGAACTTGAGAGCCAAAGTTCTAGTTTACCCTTCCTGTCTCTCCAGACAATAGAATTTGACTGTTCCTTAAAGTTTCATGTGCATAACATTTTAGTTCCAAACTAGATTTCACAACTCTAAGGGCAGGACCCATGTCTAGTACTTCCTTAGTTTTCAAAATGAACCAAACTCCACAGTGGGCAGAGGGTAACAATAAACACCTGTACACTGGTTTTTCCACCGCCTTTCCAAAGTTCTCTGAGCAATAAGCACTGCTTGCCATCCTTGCCCTCACTTCTGGCAGACTGACTAGATGACAAGAGGCTTCCAGGTAGCCTCTCCTTAAGACTCTTCTCTGTTCTACTTTAAAAACTTTCAGTCCTCTTGTAAAACACATATGCACTGTAGTGTCCTGAGCTCCGACAAGTCCCCACTTTTCATCCCTCAATACATTTAACTAGTTTGTCCTTTGACAAAAGTCCTTTTAAAAGGTGTCCTTTCCCCATCATTCTACTTTGTGCTTCACTATTGGCCTTAATTGATCTAAACTAAACTTCCACTAACAGAATGGATGTATCTAGTGGTAGAGGCCACCCCAATTAATAAATGTTAGTAAGGACTACAAAAAAATAAGACAAGTCCCCATGTGGAAATCCAAGGACAAATCTATAATGCTAATTAACTGCTATCAAAGCACTAAATCCCAATGGCAATAAACTAAAGTAAGAAACATATTAAACAAGCTAACTATGGGAGACAGATACAAGTCAGAAAAAGGAAATGTTAGAGAAAGTTTTACGGCTTGAACCATATATACGTTCATTACGTATCAATGTGAGTAGAATAAAAGGAATATATTCTGGCTGGAATTGAATAAACAAACAAGGGTTAAGATTTTCTGTGCCATAAGACCAAGTCCGAGAAAATAATAATATTTTCCTTAAATATTTATATGGCAGCTATACCATGCCAGACTTCTAGATATCTGGAAAACAAAAATGAACAAGCAAAGTCTTTGCTGTTATGAAGTAGGAAGAAAGAAGCCAAGTTAATGCGAAAGCAGATGATTGCGAGGTAGGGGAAAGAGTCAGTGAGATTCCATAAAGTATCACTGATCAGGATACTTGATCAGGAGTTGGCAAACTTCTGTAAAGGGGTAGATAATACATATTTCAGGTTTTGAGCACCATAAAGTCTGTTACAAGTCTTACCACTGCCTCTTCAGCACAAAACTTACCATACACGATACAAAAATGAACGTGGGTGGCCATGTTTCAATATGATCTTCTTGACCAAACAAGCAGCAGGCCAGAAATGATATCTGGGCACTGGTTTGCCAACCCCTGCTCTGGATATTGATTTCTAATTTCACCCTATATGACATGCCAACCATTAATAACAGTAAGTTGTACTAGCTAGTTCATCTTTCCTATCAAAATATACTGATTAGGTTTCATATTGACGAGGTTGCATAAAATTATATATTATCAAATAACACAGAAGTGGCTATGTTATGCAAGTAATTTTAAAAGTCTGTGCCAAATAGAAATGTTTTCTACTATTCTAAATATCTGTATTATTATAAAGGCCAAAATCATGTGTTCATCTCCTGTCCTCATTCCGTGCTATGTAGCAGACATTCTGCTGGGTAACTTCACACACAGTATCACTAAAACAGTACACTTCAAATTATGTTTTGAGGACTGATGCCATTATGTGAGCTTTTGCTACCAGTAACTGATATTGTAACTACATATGTGAGAGTAAGTACTATAAACATTTACAGTAATCTAACACTGAGAAAAAAGAATAAGAAATTTCTTCTGGACACCAGTGGCTCATGCCCACAATCCTAGCAACTTAGTAGGCTGAGATGGGGAGGATAGAAGTTTGAGGCTAGCCCAGGCAAGCGTGGGACTCCATGGATAGAGTCAGTGAGACTCCATCTCAACCAACAGCTGGGTTGCAGTGGCGCATGCCTGTCATCCCCAGCTATAGAGGAAAGCCTAAAATAGGAAGATAATGGTCCATGCTGGCCTGGTCAAAAAGTGAAACCCTACTTCTAAAAATAACCAGAGCAAAAAGGGCTGAATGTATGGCTCAATTGGTAGAGCACCTGCCTAGCAAGCTCAAAGCCCTGACTTTTTTTTTTTTTTAAATCCCAACTCTGGTCCTTTAACCACAAAGAGTTTGAGAGTCACTGATCTAAATAAATAACCCCATGAGGCAGGAATGCTTATTCCTATTTGACAAATAGAAAGACAAAGGTTACTCTCTAGCTAGTAAGCAGAAACACTGGAATTTTATCTTCTGATTCAACTCTAAGTATCATTTCAGAGTTATCAAAGACACCGCTGAGCTGGGGTCTCTTCAGCAGTTAAATGGTAAAACTCTAACTCCCGTATTTCTTTCTACATACGTGGTATTAGAATAGAGATTGACTAACAAACGTGAATCAGTACAGTTGCAGGGCCTCTGGTAGAATACAAAGCCTACTTCCTTCTGAAACTCCGTACCATTATCTTGCTATACAAAGACAGCAATCCTAGCTTTTTCCACACCAGTAGGAAATAAAATTTGGGCAGGACAGGAGAGTAAAAGGAGCAATGAATAATAGGTTTTCTGAATTCTACCAGTTCTTCCACTGGGGAAGCTACTCAATGAGCTTCAACTTCATCTGTAAAGCATGTTTCACTAAGACGCTTCCAGGGTCTCTTTGAGATGTAATCGTTCTGTGACACTGAGAGCACTGATATCACAGTATTTAGAGAATACCCTAGGAAGATGCAGACTGGCTCAGAGTGAGAATAAAAGCTTGGTGCAAGTCTCCTAAGTTGTAGTAAATTGACAAGAAGAAGCCCTTGGACAGCTGGGTAAAATACGGACCACTGGAGAAGATCTGAGGTCATGAGGGGGACAGCATGAACTCATCATGTACATGGGAATACCCACGTGGCATTGGAGCCGCCAGGCTGGGAGCTCTCTACTAGGCGTAGAGAACGTCTAGACTGTGTCGTTCTTACCTCTAGCTAGTTACCCATGAAACAGTCTTCACCTTAACACAAAATCAAAATAACCACCTGACAACTCCATATTGTGACATTAAGGAAACTCCCAAACTCTCACCTAGTAAGCACAATGTGTGCATGCCATTTTGTCTGTTTTTCTTCACTTTGTCAAAGAAGCTTTCTGGTTTCCACGTGTCCGTCCAAAAAACAATAGAAACTGTCTCTCCAAATTTATACAACTAGAAAGAATAAAAACATGAATTAATCATGGGGCAATTCACTACTATTTCTTTGATAGAGAATTTAATCCCTTTATAGCCAAAATAAAATCTGAGAACCAGACTTAAGATGACTCAGGGATGAAATCCATCTCTCTCTTGCTCTCTCTCTTTCACACACACACACACACACACACACACACACACATAAAGGTGACAGAAGTTCTCTTTGGTTCACAGTAGCCAATGTCTTTCTCATGCCTCTTTCAAAAGTAAGCCTGTAGAGGTTCTGCATTCAGTGCAGCTACATGGAAGCAATTCATAATTTAGCTCTGTAGCCACTAAAAATACAGAGAATTCAGAAGGAAAAAAAAAAAGACCTTTCAGCACCCTTATAGATGAGACCACCAAGACTCAGAAAGAGCAACTGACCTGGCTAAGGTCACATAGCTGGTCAGTAATGAAGAAGAAATACTCAGACTTAGGTCTGTAGGAATGTTCCTTCCCAACATATTATCTCAATAAAATTCACAAACCACATTCTCACTCCAGTCACTGCTCAAAACCCACACCCCCTTACTTAGCAAGACTCTACTTGTTCCCTCCCTTCAAGGCCAAGGATGAGGGCCTTTCCATTGCCTCCTCCTTGCGCCCAAGTACCCCACCCACCTCACCATGGCGCACACAACATGCTTGCTTCCCTGACCCAGCATGGCTGCACCAGTCTACTTGAGGGAATCCAGTTCCAGATCTTATGCTTAGGAAATCTACTTTTGATTCAAGCTCTGCAACTTGAGAACTGTGTCACATCACTCTCAGTCTCTATCTCTGATGAAGGAACACTGATAAACCCCCAGGGCTATGAGGGTCAGTTAGCATTAAAAATTTATTCAAATGGCAAACTGATATGCTAACATCAGTTTTTGTCTAGGCAGCGTACAAAGATTTATTTTCAAATACAGTGTATGAAGTTGTTATGTAAAGATTCAGTTCTTCAACCCTTCAACTGAAACAGTGTCTGAGACAATTTATAACAGATCTGCAAAGCACTAGACACTGAAAATCACATCTAGTCCTCTGTTACAAATTTAACTGTGTGCCCGAAATAGCTGGTGACTTCAGGAAGACACTTAACTTTTCTAAGCCTTCAAAGCAGGGATTGGTGACCTTCTTCTCCCCATAGTCTAAGGCTTCTGAGATCAGCTTCAGAGACTGCTTCAAGAAGGGCCAGGGAAGCAGATAGGAAGGAAACAGGAGAAGGGGTAACTCAGGGTCCTCCATCCCTACTTCTCCATAGCAGTTCAACACTTCTCACATTTTATGTCTTGGGGTCTTAAAAAGTATACCCAATACTCATAATGGTGGCTCTGAGCTCTAAATGGAAATTTCATTGTGCTCTTCGCAGGCTGTAGCCTCCAACTTCCCTATTAAAGGCTTTATTCCCAACACCCAAGTGAAAACTGTCTAAACAAGGCATTCTCTCTGGGAAGCCAGGCCAGCCAATAGCAGTCCTATCAGTGAGCAGTGTACAGCACCCCCAACCCATGTAACTCCAGTGTTCAATCATGTATCTTCCCACCCTGTGTAACAACATTTCTCTATGAAAAAAATATTTTGAGTTTTGATACAAGATTCACCACCCTAGCTCTACTGAGGAATGGTTACTCTTATTATCCTAGGAGAGGCAAATTTACCCAAAATTATTTGATATAGATCACCTACTATGTGGCAGGCATCATGCTAGACATAGGCTTAATGGGCAAGCAAAACAGATGTCAGGGCCTCATGGAACATGCAGGTTCCTCATGCAGCAGGACGGCTGGGCAAGTGTGGCCCTGGCTCTTTCTGTCGGGCCCCTGATCCTGAGGAGATAGTAACTTAACTCTAAAGAAGCCAGGGTATGCTGAGGGCCTAGTAGTGCCTTGCACATTGCAAGGGCTCCGTAAACGATGAGGGATTTGGTGATGCGACAGTGACACTTCACTGCTGCCAGGAAGATGTTCTGAGATGCTATGCCCGGATGGGATTCAACTGCTTCCCTTTTTGGAATGAGCTCAAAAATCACCAAATTATTTGAATCTACACTTATGATTTAATTCTGACAAGTTCAACTATAATACATCCTAAAACAGTTTTCAATTCTCTGATCAAATTTTTGAAATATTAATATTTCATAAAAAATTTTGTAGGAAAACTATTAGAGAAAATTATATATGCAATTATAACAAATATTTTGAGCAGGTTTAAAATATTTTAAGAGACATAGAAACATAATTAGAAGCAAATAATTAAGTTCTTCATTCAAAAAGAAAGTAACAAGCCCTTTAAAGGAGAATTGAGATGCTGGTCACATAGAAACACTAAATGAAGCATTCTGTGTAAAAGCGTCTTTGAAAAAGAAAACCTCACATAAGCACTGCCTTCTAGAACCCAGATTTATAAACAGCAACCACTCCTGTGGCTCCAGTGCAAACTTCTTCACTGAATCCTGGAACGTTATGCAAACAGTCTCACCATTTAGATGTCAGTACCTCAAAGAACAGAAGGACCAGTACTCTGTGTGTCACAACCAAAGGACTTACCAGTAAGCTATAAAAAGAAAGTGCAGCGAAATCACATAGTGACGAGAACTGAGGTTGCAGAAGCCTAAATACAAGCTGTCTTATAATGCGAGCTTTTCTACTGTGACTTTTTTCCCCAAAGCATTATTGTGTTAAATCTAAATTTAAAGACTACAAAATCAGCTGTTTTCCAAGAAACAATTTTTAACTTTAACCTGGAGTAATACAGAGAAAGCAGCTTATCTAACTTGACATTGGATTATGTTATCTGTTAAGAAAAAAGAAAACAAAAACACTAAAACAAAAAAGCCCTCAACTCCAAACCAAATCATGTGTCTGGTACTATCTCGTTAGAGTGAGAAGATGCACAGGAAGTATTAGGCAGAAAGCAATAATTATCAAATATTATGAGAGTTCAGCACCACCCCCACTGATAGCTGGTAGCAACTTCTGAAGAGACAGGATAGGAGACGGACCTGGAAGGACACAGGAGACATTGAGCATGCGGAGAACGAGAGTGTGAGCTCAGTAACGGGAGGTCACCAAGCAATCACACCCAACCTGCCTCCAGGTTTCTAATTCCTGACAAATCACCAAGAGCCAGGTCCTGTTGGTTCCAGCTGCCTAGCTTACTACCCATTTCTTTCCCAATCTTGCTTTGGGCCCTTGATAACACTTTCCTGAACGACCGTGCCAGTCTAACTCATCTTACTGCCACCAATATCTCCTTCCTTTCAGAAGTACAGATGCTTTGTAAAACTCACTTTATAATTAGTCTTCAATGCTTCGTTTATTTTGTATTTTACTAACAAACACATTTTCTGTGGTTTTTCATTTAAAAATATGTTAAGAAATCTGTTACGTATTTGAAAAAATTAAAAATTTGAACTTGCTAAAAGAAATCTATTAGGCTCCACGTGTATCTCATAAGTATAGACATCTTAAGTCAGTGAAATCTGTGAAGACTGCAGGAGAGGAGAGTCAGCAGAATTGTCAAGATGTACACCACAAAACCACACAATCAAGAGTGACTAGTTTTCTCTTTTACACAGAATGCCAATCTTGGAGTTGTTTTGTTGTTGCTTTTCTCCCCACATGAACTTGGCTTAACACCAGTGTCACAGTGACTTTTGCTGACTACCAATGAGGTATGTCAACTTTGACTGTGACTATGCAAACAGAAAAACCATAGGGTTTATATTCTCACATATGAATGAGGAGCCATTTATTACTTAAATGAAAAAATTACAATTTAAAGAATTCCAAAGACTAGACCTGATGGGGGGAATAAATAATCCATTTAACTTAGGAAATATTTGTTGCAAACGGGCTCTATGGCACTGTGATGAAATGAATTGAGTAAATGAAAGAATTTATAATATGGTAAAAACACATACACATACACGAAGCTGAATATTCTGTCCAGGATGCATTTTTACCAGAACTGTGTGAGTAGAGAATGGTACCATCAGAGATGTAATTTAACGACAAAATTATGAAGTGGAAAAGAATGGTGATAAGGTGCTGTTGAAATAATGATTACAGATGGGCTGGTGGCATACAGATATAATCCCAGCACTTGGGAGACTAAGGAAAAATGATCATGAGTACAAGGACAGCCTGAGCTAGAAAGCAAAGACCCTGTTTCAGAAAATCAGAATGAATAAACTATAATTAGAAACAGTAATAAGTGGAAATGGAAAGGAAAGGGGAAAAATTTAATATCAGTGATTTAGCAAGTACTCAAAAATAATTACTATATAACTCAAAGAAAAGAGCTTAGAAGAGTTCTTCTAGGTTACAGAGCCACGTAGCATTCTGACAGCCTTACTGTTGAATTGAGTGTACTCTGTGCTAGGACAGATTTCATCATTTCTACATTAGCCCCTGTCAACAATGAAACCAAATAATGCTTTTGAAAACAAACAGGAATGGCTGACTATCACAATGAATGTTGAGGTATAAAAAGAAAAACGAAGGAAATTAGTTGTTACTTTTTAAAAGTAATATACATTTTTTTCCAGAGCAGATGTGTATTTCATAAACGAAGGAACATGTGGCAATCCTCAAGGTCACTCTTGCAGTAGCAGGAGAAAGCGGAAGCATTCTGCAATGATGAGAAAAGTCTACAATCCTCTGCCAGAGGCAGCTATAACTGACAACACAGTTTTTATCCAGAAATCACTGCTATGTGTTTTCATTAAGTTGATTCATTGATTCATCCTCTAAAATGTCTCAAAAGTACCTTAGCACTAAATCTGCAACAGAATTAGTACATTCCATCACACAAAGGTGACAGAGGCTTGTGTGTAGCTTAGTGGAAAAGAGCATGCTTAGTTAGGATGCACAAGGCCCTGGGTTCAGTCCTTAGCACCACCCACCCACCCCCAAGAAAGAAAGAAAATGAAGATAGGTAAATGCACCTCAAAGAAGTAATTCAGAATTTGCAATGCTTATCTTTGTTTAGCCTATAGGGCCAAGTAGTTCACATATAAAACTTTGATGAAAAAGACGGAAAGAAAATACACCAAAACAGTAAGTGTAGATACTTTCTACTTTCTTCTTCACAATTAAGGTATTTTCCTAATTTTCTGTGAGTACGCAAGCTATTCACTATTGAGAATTATTATGTTTTCATGGTTCTAATATGAAATGGAAGTAATTCCAATTCTGCATGACTAAGCTGCTAAATGTTTCTGCAGACATTTAAACTTGAAGTGGTTGAGCAGGGCTGGCGGGGATGTGGCTCAGGAGTAGAGCGCTTGCTTAGGATATGTGAGGTCCTGGATCTAGATTCAATCCCCAACACTGCAAAAGGGGGGAGAAAAGAATTCAAACACAGTCACCTTGCCACTGTCCTAGTTTTGGACAAATAAACGGACTTTTCTTTCATTAGAAAAATGTACAAAACACTGTCACTTAGGACTCTGAAGCCACATGATTTTGAAGTATATGCGTTTAAGCTGACGTATGTGCTCAGCATGCATGACTGCGGCCATCTTGAGTGGTAGCCACCATGACGACCTGTGAGGAACCGGGCTGGTTTCCCTGCATCGTTTCCCACCATGTTATAAACAGACAAGACCATTAGAGGATGGTATGGGGGAGTTATGAGCAGACTCTGGCACCAAGAATGTGCCTGACTCTGTAAGATTAACCTGAGACAAACAAGGTACATTCTAGCATGGATAAAGTCACTTTTTGACTACCTCATAAGTCCATTTTCTTACCCAAATTGAAGGGATCCACTGGCTCTTAATGGGCACCCACACCCACACTTCATCACTAAGTCCCCCAATAAACTGCACTCTAGGCCCTGGATCTGGCTGCCTCTGTTGTGTGGTCTCATTGCACTTGCAGAGTGTTCTAATACACTGGGACCAGATTGTTCCAGAACAACTAATATTTTAATTGTGAAAAATCCTAAAATTGACTCAATGAAAAATTTGAATGGCTAACATAATCTTGGTCACGGTGATTTTTGCCAAAAGTTAGAAAACACAGCAGTTTTTCCGCTTCCCAGTCTAGGACGTGCTCCCATGATTCGCTCCTTTAACTGTATCTTTCTCTGCTGCAGTGTCTTATCCTCTTGCCCATCTAGCAAACTTCTTTAATTCACTTTTTAACCATTATATTGCATTGTAATTTAGCGATCATAACGTTCACCCACTTCAAATATACAATTCAGTAATTTTTAGTAAGTTTACTGAGCTGTCGCCAGCCAACACCATACCTAGTCTTGGACCATTATCATCACGTGCTAAGACCCTGGGACGTCTATGTTCAGTTGATCTCTGCACAGCCCAGCCGGCAGCCACTGCACACTTCCTGTCTCTGCCTTTGAGGGACATTTCAAGTGAACAGAATCGTATGAAATGTGATCCCGTGTCTGGCTTCTTTCACTTTAACATACATATACTGAACTTCTATGTCAGGACTAGTAACTCTTCATGAGAAAATATGAGATTTTAGGGGAGCATTCACTTACTCAAGAATCTAGGAAAGGGTGGGTGAGGTGGCTCATACCTACAATCTTAACTGCTCAGGAGGCAGAGATCTGGAGGATCTCATAGTTAGAGGTCAGCCCAGGAAAAAAGTTCAAAGAACTGCATCTCAACCAATAAAAGTTAGGTGTGGTGGTGTGCCAGTCATTCCAGCAGAGATCAGGAAGATCGCAGTTCGAAGCCAGCCTGGGCGAATAATTTGAGAGACCCTATCTCAAAAATAACCTAACACAAAAAGGGCTGGAGGAATGGCTCAAAGTGAAGGTCCTGAGTTCAAGCCCCAGTACTGCAAATAAATAAATAAATAAATAAATAAATAAATAAAAACAATGTGCTTTGTAGCATTACCTGTAATCCACAGCAGCCTACAGCATTCATTATGGAAGCATTGTGAATAACTCGGTAAGGGACTCCCAGTTTTGTTGCTCTCAGTATAAGATCACTGTGTGTTGTAGCCCTGTAGTGAGAAATCAGGTTGAATTAAAGAACACTGAATTTTCAAAAGGAAAGCCAGTCCATTAACTCATTTTAGGAGTTCAAGTCAATCAAAGAGTCAACTGCTTTTCCTCAAATTCTGCTTTTATCTGGACTTTTTAGCAACAGAGTAACCTTGCCTGAGTCCTTCACAAGGTGGAATTGCAACTACAAACACCTGCAGCTACTGAAAAAAGACAAGTTTATTGGTCCTTGTCCTGTTAATATCTGCAGAAGACATTGGTGGTATATATAACCTCAGCGATTTGGCTCTTGAGCAGCAATTCTTAAAACCCTTCAGTCTCAGGACCTCCTTAAACTCATTTTTAAAAGTTTTATTTGTATCTACTATGGAATATGATGTAGCCTTTTAATATGTGCATATCATGTATAATGATCAGATTAGGTAAGTGGTCTATTTTTGACCTTATTTCTTTGCTCTTTGTGTTGAGAACATTCAAAGTCCTCTCTACTAGCTGTTTTGAACTATTGAGTTGATTGTGGTCAACCACAGTTATCTCACTGTGCTGGAGAACATCAGAAGGAGCTCCTGCTATCCTACCGCACCCCATGCCCATTTAGCATCCACCCTCCATTCTCTCCACCCTCTTCTTTCACACCTTTCCCAGGCTCTGGAAACAACTACTCTAACCTCTACTTCTCTGAGACCAACTTTTTACCTTCCACGAATGAGTGGTATCCTTTAAATTCTTAAAAATAATGCTTCAGAGTTTCAAATCATGACACAAGTAGGCCCAATTCATTATTTCTGCTCTACTTGGAAGGTTCTGTTTCTGCATTTTGAGCCACAGGTAGAACAGAACATTTTCATGGCCTGCCAGTCTTTCAGTCTTTGTATTCGAATTCTGTCTGAAAGAATTCTGCTCAGAGTTTACAGCTGTCTGTCAGACACTCTATTTGCAACTGTTGTGAGCCTGGTTACTGTGTATAATTAGTATATGTATATGGGTAAGTATATGTATATGTATATGCATGTATTCATGCTCTGCCTGCTCCCTTTCCTTCTGTGAGATAAATCTCAGGACTGTAATTGGGTAGGTTGGGGTAGAGAGAGAATATATGTAAATACAAATTGAACACTGTGAAAAGTAGCCCCACATCAATTTAGAACAGTATTACTGAGAGCTTTTTTCTGTCTTGACAAATATGCCAAGCCCTACTGGGGAAAGCAACATTAGCATGTTTGAGAAGCTACTTACAAACAAGCAGAGCCTGTCAACTGGTCAATGCATACCAAGCAGGAAGATCAAGAGCTTATACCCCAAGAGGCAGTCAGACACAGATTAGCAAATACCCACCAGGGAAGCCTATTGTTAATCACACAGAAGAAATAAAAAACTAGTTTGAAAATAATCATTAATTTGATTTAGAGTAAGCTTTTCAAATTAACATGAATGGCAGTTGTAAAGAATGTTTTTAACATTAACTTGAACAGAATCTCACTATTTAACATTAAGAACAAGGAAAAGTGAATTTGTTATTTGGTTAAGATTTTTCTTTTTAATTTAAACAGTTTTACTGGAGTGTTATTTAAATAGATGAAAAGAAACACTGGTTAAAAATTACATCTCTATCACAAATTCATTTGAAATGATGAGACCTACACACACAAATCAAGCATTTCTGGATATGTACATTGAGCCACATGCTCAGAAACAGTGAAGAAAATTTGTCTTAATAATGTGTTTTGAATTGTTTTGAAGGTAATTTCAAAAGAAAAGAGCCAAAAATGGTTTAATGAATTAAATCACTTTTTAAAAAGTATCAAAAGGGGACAAGTTAAATGTACTCGACTTGGGAGTTAGTTTTAGAATTTGTAACATTAGTTGCAGATACAGAACCAACATTTGACAGAGATGTGCCTGCTGTCTGCAAATTTACTAAGGTTTCCAATAACATGGTGAAAATTATGTTCTCATGAACTACTGCAAGGAATATAAATCGGTAATATTCTTTTGAAAAATAATTTGACAACAGGTTTTATGTGCTTGAAAATGTCTGTGGCCACAATTTTTTATCTTTTGATCTTGCAAACCTATTGGGAGAATTATTATTGTATGACTCTTGTATGACAAGAGTCATACAAGTTTATGAACTCAGTCTTCTGCTACCTAGGCAAGTGCTATACCACGTGAGCCGTGTGCCGCCCCCCCTCCCCACCCAGTCCTTTTGCATTTAGTTTATTTTTCAGATAGGTTCTCCTGCTAACTTTGCCTGGGCTGGCCTTGATCTGTCTCTGTCTTCTGAGTAGCTAGGACTGTAGACATACACCACCAATGCCTGGCCCTCCAGAACCAATTCTTATTTCCCTCAATTCTCTACCATTTTTCATCATTTCAACAAGTGTCACCATCAACCAATTACTCGGTTATAACACTATTGTCCTTTCCTTTTCCTCTCCTACCACATGCATGCTGGCACTCTTCCTTCTAAATATTTTCTATACTATCATTTCCTGTCTTCTCCCAGACACTCTTGCCTCCCTAAAATCCATCCATCACAATCATTTAAAGTGATGCTTAATCACATATATCAGACTGTGACTTTTTTTCTTGCTTAAAATCCTCCAAAGGTTTACCACGTCATTTCAAATTCCAAGCCCCTCTCAGGCCTACGTGACCTGGCTCCTGCCTACCTGTGTGACACTTTCTCATGCTCCTTTTTCCTTTACTCACTATGCTCCAGCCATGCTGGCCTTTCTGTCCACTGAACACAGCCATCCTGTTTCCTCAGTTTAGAATATTCTAACCTCCTCCTTTTCCTCTTCATCCTTCTGACACTTGCTTAAATATCACCTCCATAGAAGGGCTTTTCCATGAGTGTATATGAGGAAGGCTCCTTCTACTATTCTTTTTCTCCTTTACAGGCCTACCAAAACTCAACACCTATTTCTTTTTCTTTGATTACTGTTAGCCCTGCCACACACATGCAAACAGTAAGCCGAAGTCTTATCATCCACGATGCAGGACTTCCTGTCACAGATATTTGTACAAAAAGTATTTGGTTGAATGGATAAATGTCAGTTTGAGATATGCCTGGTCTTTCTTTCTTTGTTGGCCCTACACAAAATACCCCCAACGTCAGCCAGACACCAGTGACTTATGCTGTAATCCCAGCTACTTAGAAGACAGAGATCAGTAGGATCAGGGTTCAAGGCCAGCCTAAGGAAAAAGCAAGCAAAACCCCATCTCAATCAAGCCTGTCATCCCAGCTGCACAGGAAGTGTAAACAGGAGGATCATGGACCAGGCAAAAATAAGAGGCACTGGGAGTGTGGCTCCACTGGTAGAGCGTCTATTGGGTGAGCATGAGGTCCTGAGTTCAACCTCCAGGACCACCAAATTAAAAAAAAAATTTTAAGAACCTAAATATTTAATTAGTAATTAATTAGTACCAACTATATATCAAGTATTGGAAGGAAGGTAAGGAGATAAGAATGTGAAGGATAGCCTAAAAATCTACAGGATTAGTAAATATAGAGAGTTATTTAGAAATGTTGGGAAGTGCTATATGAAAACTAGTATTATTGTATGTATGTCCTCAGCTGTTGGTACTATTTCAGGAAGTTCTGAAAATGTAAGATGGGACCTCGCTGGAGGAATTAGGTTATCAGAGCTGGGCCTTGAGAGTAACCTGTTCCTGGGGGTTTCCTCTCCTTTCTCCTGTCCTCCTCTCCTCTGTATTCCTCTCCTTTCCCTTCCTTCGGTTGTTCTCTTAGGTATTTTGGTCACAGTTATGCAAAAGTAACTAATACACCATGTGTTTGTTCACACCTATAATCCCAACACCTAGGAGACTGAGATGGGAAGATTACAAGTTCCAGGCCAGCCTGTGCTACACAGGCAGTTCCAGGCTAGTTGAGCTATATAGCAAGACCCTGTTTCAAAAAAAGAAGAAAAAAGTAACTAATACAAGAATAAATGATACATGTCACAGCTTAAATGTGTAATTTCAGGTTGGAGAAATAAGGGAATATAGTATGGAGAGCCGTATTTTCGACTTGAGCAGGCCCCTGACAGAGAAAGGTCATAGGACATTAGAGGTGAAGGAAGCACCTGGCACTAAGGTGTGAAGGTGAGGAAGCATGATGACATGAGTGGGTTGGAATGAGTGCAGCCTTTGATACAATACAATACAATACAATTCTCATTTGTGAGCCCAGATGAGGTTACCAAACTGTGGTTTTACAAAGATGAATTTTGCCACAGTATGGGTCAAAGTCAAGAGTTTGTATGGACTAGGCAAAGGTACAGAGTGTATGAGGCTAGATTAGGCAGAATAGTGGCAGCCAGAGTGAAAGGAATAAAGGATATGGAAAGCTTTGGAAGATGAAAGCCAATAGCAGTGCTTCTCAAACAATAGCACTGCAATACCGTTTTTAGGTTCCAAATTGTCACAGAACAATAGTTTTGTAAAATGCAACAAAAATAAACTATTAGAAAAATAAAATATGAGATGAAATAATAGAAAGAATAAGTCCCAATTTTTATTATTGGGTTTAACTGCTGTAAAAATTACTTTTTTAAATGGCTACAAAGTCTCTAAAATGTGTGCTGTTGATACACATTTACCTCATCATGGACCAGTAAGCTTGAGGGCTGGCACCAGTGAGCAAGCCTCTCTTTGAGTAGCATCCCTATTGTGTGACAGACACTGTCAGTGACTGGACCCCAAGAAAGTCAGAGATGACTCTGAAACTGCTCAGCTGGGTGACTGTAAGGATTTTAGAACCATCAAGTTGGGAGGTTTGGAGGGGGAAACCCTGTAGAAACAGGTTTCATGCAGAAGTCAGTGTGATGAGAAAAATCCTACAAGTTAGAATATACTTTCTAACTAGGATTTTTCATTTACTTTATTTTATTTTACTATCCTATTACTAAAAAAAAGGTCGGGGAGGGCTGGAGGTGTGGCTGTGGCTCAAGCAGTAAAGCAAATACAAGGCCCTGAGTTCAACCCTAGTACAACCAAAACATTAAAGACAAAAAGAAAACAACAACAACAAAAAAGATAGGTAATACTAATTTTAAGGAATTCTTAAGTTTACAGAAAACAATGTCAGAGGCTGAACCACATTAAATGTTTTAAAATGTGTGATATCATCTAGTTACCTGCAATTAAGTTTAATAATGATACAGGCTCTCTGGCTCTTCATATTGACATAAATTACTTTCTTTGTGACAGACACATGCACACATAACTCTATTGTTTTGAGAAACATCCTTGATGGTGGGCTCATCTTGATTTAATTGTCCTTATGTTCTTTAAATCTGTGACATAAATCTTGGGTGACCAGCTGCAGACAAAGAACTCTGCTGTGTGGCTGACACTAGAGATTGATGATGCTTGGCTAGACAAGGAGAAGCCCATTTTCTTCATAATGAAAAAGAACAGAGCTCCCAATGGATATAAGAAATTGAAATCAGAGGCCTGATAAATGATAAGTTCAAGGCAAGTGAAGTGACAGCAGCATTGCCAAATCTTAGATGATTAAAAAAGGAAAAAAGCCTAGAACAAAGGAAGTCAAGGATGCTTGCAATTATCTGTAGCAAATGGCAGATGCTATTTAATAACGATACAATAGTTAGAGCATCGATGTCTGACATGATCTTCCAAAAAGAACTGACAGAATCAAAGAAATAGACTCTAGAACTGACACTAGGTAATGTAGTGATACTTATGATATCTTTAGGAAAGAGATTTTCTTCATCAAAGACAATGAAACTTTAAACTATGAAATCTTTATTTACTTGTTTTTCTCATTTTGAGACAGGGTCCCACTTATGCAGCCCATGATGGTTTTGAATTCACTATTATGTAGCCCAGACTGGCCGTGAACTTTTGATTCTCCTCCCTCACTCTCCTGAGTGGTGGGATTACAGGTGTGTGTCATCTCACCTGACATAAACTATGAAATTTTAGATAGAGTTTAGGTAGACAGAGTAACTTATCAGGACCTGGAAGGGAAGTTTTAAATGTAACAGAATAATTATTATTGATATATATAACTAACTAAAATAAATTTAGCTATAACTAAATAAATACATAACTAACACAAAATGTCTTCTTTGACTTACCCAAATGGGTCGCCAACCACAAGGAATGCAACGTCACTGATATCAGCATCCTTTAAAATATTATCTGCTTCTTGTTCCACTTCTTCTCTATCAGCAAGAATTAATTTTCTTCCATAAAACTCTTCCTACAGATTCAAGTTCAATATCAAAATAAGAGACAGCAGGTGACCATTTACACACTCACACCCACATCAAAAAACAATCTTTGTTTGGAGCTGTTGCAAATCTTGGCAATCATTCAAACACAGATCATTGAATACAACTCATCAGTGAGCCAGCACTCTATATCATGTTGCAATTAAACTCTGTCTTTGGGGCTATCTTAATATCCCAAGAGGAGGCCCACCTCTTAACATCTGATACCTCTAAATTTGGCTCTAACAGACAAGGCAGAACATTATAGGATGAACAGAAAATATGCATGTATGAGCTCTACTTCAGAAGCATGATTAATACAGAATATATTAAACAATAGTGATTAACATACATGGTAGTTCAGGTTTCCTTAAATTTCCTATGGGAAAATCCATGGTACCTTGGCTAAAATAAAAAGCAACATCAATAAGAAATAACAGAAAAGTGTGATTTAGTTGTTTTTAAAACCAGTGAGCATTCCTACATAATACAAACTTAAGTTGTATTCCCTTGTTCCAGCTAAGAAGGCAGAATTCTAAATTCTAAATATACAGGAAGTTTCCAACAAACTGCTTTGTGAATAAGTCTTCTGGAGCTCAACTCTAGAGAACCAACACTGGAGAGCGAGCTGGTGAGCTAGTGTTCATGTGGCACCAGTTAAGGCCATTGTGCAAGAACATTAATCCGATTCAAATGAGGTGAAAGTGCATGCACAGATAAATAACACTGCTTCTTACATATGGAGAAGTTTGAGTTCTTAAAATTTGTAAGGACTTTTGTAGTGGGAGAACATCCAGCACCCAGTAACATTTGTCAAACAAATGAGCAAATGAACAAATGATTAAACATCCAAAGATAAATGCGATAGTTCTAACTCTGATCATTATTTACTAATACTTAACTAAAATCTATTTCTCAAATGTAAAAAAGAGGTCAGGTGTGTTGGCTCATGCCTATAACCCCAATACTCAGGAAGGAGGTAGACTGAGAAACACAGTTTGAGACCAGTTCAAGCAAAAAGTTAGCAAGATCGCATCTCAATCAATAAGCCAGGCATTGTGGTGCTTGCCTGTCATCCCAGCTACTTGGGAGGCAGAGGTAGAGAGGCCACTTCATCTCTGAATGGCCCCAGCTACTAAGGCAGTGAAGACCAGGAACATGGTTTGAGGCCACTCAGGCAAAAAGCAAACAAAACCCCATTTCAATCAATGAGCCAGGCATGACAGCTCACACCTGTGATCCCAGCTACAATGGAGGCAGTATGTGGAAAGATTGTGGTCTGAGGTTGGACCCCAGGCAAAATCATAAGGTCCTACCTGAAAAAAAACTAAAGCAAAAATAGCTAGGGAGTGGCTCAAGTGATAGAACACTTGCTCACCAAGCTTGAGGCCCTGGGTTCAACCTCCAGAACCACCAAAAGAGAAAAAAAATTAATTTGGATTATGTATTTTCCAGGGACTGAGAACCAATTTTTGTACAATATGAGCCTTAATCATCTGCATTCATGAAAATGAAGGTAAAAGTCAAAATTTGGTCTTGCTTTAAATAGGCAGTAATTATTTAGGACAGGGTATTTCTGGAAGGATATGTAATAAATTACTAGTGATTGCCTCCAAGAAGAGGAAATAAAACAGAAATCTTTTGATGTATTCATGTATCAATACTTTTTGAATTTCAAACCATGTAATGGATTACCTAATCAACAACTAGAACAGAGGCTCAAAGTAGTAGGTAGAAGTAAATAAGAGAACAAAATCTTTTAAAAATAGCAACATTTAAAGAACAGAAATAAGGATCTTTCAAAGGGGACTGAGGAAAATGGAAACACAGGAGTAAAACTAAGAAAGACATAGAAGGGTGGTCAACTGCATTGAGAGGTAACCCAGGTAAGAATTCATAACTAGCCTCCAGAGTCTCAGCTCAGAAAGAAGTGTTCAAAAATAGAAAAGTATTTCTCAAAAATGGAAGTTGGCCCATAGGTAAGAGACACGAATGGAAGTAAAGATAATGCAGGTGTACTTTTTCATCTAAGCTTTGGATTAGATAAATAATAAGAATGGAGAAAAGAGGTTTAAAAGGAGACTTTTAAGAATGCTGAATGCTCAGGAAGAGAGAAGGATGAACAAAAGGATACTTGATGCAAGGTTTATAAAAACACATCTAGATGGAGTAACACTGAATAGGAAAAGGGCCTCTTCTTCCAAGTCACTTTCTAAGATTGTAGGGAAGACAGACTCAGATTTAAGGGCATATGTAAAGCAACAATAATTCAGGACCTCATTTTTCTAAATGTGAAGTTCTTTCCTGTCCTTTCTCCTGTTTTCTGGGTCTTAATCCAAAGCAGTTGGTCAGGAAGACAACAAGGTAATAAGGGAGCTGGTATTCAGATGATGTAAGTCAGGAAGAGAAGACAGGGAACAGATATAAAAGTTGTTTCAGTAAAGCACAACAACAAATAAAGCAAATGTTGTGCTTTCCTCCTCCATGCTTTTGCTCACGAATAGCTTTCCTTCAGGGGAGAAAGCTCTTTCTCTTCCCTTTAACAAGTCTTATCTATAATAACAATATTTGTACTAATATACTTACACTAAGAATCCTGATTAGGAGCTGCTTTAAAAACTGCATCTGGATTCATTTAATCTTTACCTCAGTCGGAGCTGGGCACCATTTTAATTCCCATTGTACAGACAAGAAACAGAGCACAGGAACGAACTGGCTGCTCAAGGTCACAGGCACAGTGCTGGTTGGAGAAACCTATATTTGTTATGAATGGGGTATAACTAGGAGAAGGTTAGTGACTATGTTGCTTGCAAGTGGGGCTCCAGTTAGTCTCCTCTGGCTGTGAGAAACTTCCTCCATCTACCCTGCAGTGGCAAACAATATTAACATTTCTTTTCTTCTCTCTCTTTTTTTTTTTTTTGGCAGTACTGGGGTTTGAACTCCTTGAGCCACTCCACAAGCCCAATTTTGTGATGGGTATTTTCAAGGCGAGTTAGGGTCTCACGAACTATTTACCCAGGCTGGCCTTGAACCACAATCCTCCTGATCTCTGCCTCCTGAGTGGCTAGGATTACAGGTGTGAGCCACTGGTGCCCAGTTAACCATTTAATTTCTACTTAAGAGAGCCCAAAAAGTTTGGCACTCACTGTTTTATTTTTATTTTTTCAAAGTTGGAGCCTCAGACATGCTAGACGAGCACACAGTCACTGAGCCTGGGTCTCACTACTTTAAAGTGCTCAGGTTCTACCTGACCATTGCATCTCCTGATCACCACATCCTGATGAGATCTTCTCTCACACATGTACTTCAATAGTTATAACTAGTCATTATTTCACAGAGGACAGCTTCTACCACTTGGTTGGTGAAAGCAAGAGTATCAGTTTAGATAAGAACATCTCAATTCTTTTATATGTTTATAACCTGACAATTTATTCCTTCAACTACTGTTATGGATTGTTACTTAAATTTTCCATTATTATTTAAGTTTTCCTGGGAATAATGCAGATGAAGCATGAGCCACTTGTGAACAAACACCATCCCTTATGCATCTCTGCATAATGCACACAGATGCATTCTACCAAACAGGCATACAAGATCATGATTTACCACAGAAAGTACCCAAAGAAATTCATGTTGCATATATCAAAACTAGACTACATACTTAGATTTACTCTCTCTAGATTAATTACATTTTAGTACAGAATATATAAGTAATACTGCTTGCTTGGCAATTTGAAAACAACAACTTTCAATGTAGAAGCAGACAAATTTCAGATTTCTTTAGCAAAATCCACATGTGCCTTACATATTGTTTGACTATTGACAAACAAAAGCACACGTTCATTGCAGAAAATTGAATTTTCCATTTTTTCACTGTGAAACAGCTATGTATAGTGAGGCCAGATCTCATATAGGAATGTAAGCATGTGTCAATAATTTCTAATATTTGTTTTAATAAGAAACCAGGAATGAAGAGAAGGAAGAAGGCAGTTGAAGAGAAAGGGACTCTGAAATTTTACTGGGCAATATAAAGCATGAATTTATTCATACCTTACTTTAGCCCAGAAATGATTCACTTAAGGCAAGGGATGTGATTCAGCAAGGTGCTCATGAAAGAAGAAAAGACTGATCTCAGTAGAAGAGCAGACAGACATGAGAATTAGGGAAGAGCAAACATTATTAAATTCATAAACAGCAAACCTCTAAAATGGAGAAGGGATAAACTAGTACATACTTCTCCATAATCACCCTAAATGTAAACAGTTTTAACATTTCAATGCTGTTGCATGAAACTGACCTCACGGGCAAAGACACACACAGACAGAAAAATGAAAGGATGGAAGACAATATACTCATAGCTGACAAAGCCAACCTCAAGCCAAAATTAGTCAGAAAGGATAAAAGAAGGTCAAAGGGAACACTCCATCAAGACGATAGAACAAATCATAAATACATATGTACCAGGGCTGCCAGAGTGGCTCAAGCTGTAACATTGCCTGCCTAGCAAGCATAAGGCCCTGAGTTCAAATCCCAGTGCCTCAAAATAAGTAAATATGTACCAAACACTGGTGTGTCAAATTTCATAAAACAAACACTTCTGGACATAAAGGGACTGAAAGGTTCAGATACTATACTAGTGAGTGGCTTCAAAACCCTACATCCTCACATCAATAGATAATTCAGACAAAAAAATCAAGAAGGGACCTTTACAGCAGAACAAACGGACTTAACAGACAACATTCTATAAAACAGCTGCTGAATTTACATGCTTCTCAACAGTCCATGGAACTTTTATCAAAATAGATTACATTTTAGGACATAAAGCAAGTCTTTTAAAAAAAAAATTTATGTGGTGCTTATGCTTGTCAGGCTGGCACTCTACCAGTTCAGCCATGCCTCCAGACCAAAAGTCTTAATAAATCCAAAAATACCTGAAATAATTTCTTACATTTTATCAGATCATAATGTAGAAAAAACAGAAATACATAGC